GAGTAAGATGTGGACTTGTAGGGCTCAAATTCCCTGGCTGTGGGCTTAGTGACTTCCCCTTCATCAAGGCTGGACCACTCTAAATTCAGATGTTTCAGAGCCAGACTTAGCTTTGTTTGAGATCCACAAAATAAATGCATTTATTTTATTGCCTTAGTGCTCATCACTTGCATTCCCTAAACTGGTATTTGGCCTGGGTGACCCATATGCCATGGAAAGTAGACTTTTTCTAGCTTATTGGTTCACATAATGAGTCTACATGGGGTTTGTTGAGAATATTTGGGGTTTCAGGGCTTTTGTTGTGTTGTGGCATTGATATTTCAAAAGGGAGCGAGGGAAAGTGCTGATTGAGGACTGTGGCTGCATTAAGCAGCTGGCATATACTTATTAGAAAGCATAAATGTGGTTGCAGTTGCTTTTTTGAGCAAAGCAGAATTGCATTTTAGTTGGGTCTGATACTTCTTGATGCTGACAGCTGCTGCACTGCCAGCAAGTGTTTGTGCTTACTGGGGATTGCTGCTCTATATCAGAACTTGGTGGTCACAGGGCTGATGTCCAGATCTCCATTCCCTTCCCACCCAGTGCTTGAAGCAGAGACTCTGTGCTAATCAGTGTGGGGCCTTGCCCTTCAGGAACGTTTCCACCTGTACAAACCTGAGAAAAAAAGGATAAACTGCAGCCAGATAAGATGCTTTCTTTTGAGTTGTACAAAGTTGTGGTATTTAGGTAATGATCAGTCATTGTGTGAATCTAATGGTCTTTGGGGAGAACCTGCAAATCTGAGTTTTCTTGTTTTGTTTGTTGCTTTTATTCAAATGCAGGAAAGACTGAGGCTCCATGGGTGGAATTTGGCTCTCTTTGGAGGTTCTACAGTAGCTGGTCTGTGCCTGTTGGTCTTAGTGTATGCAGAGCATCTGCAGGTCTAGCTATAATTATTAGAAGAGACCTGGTTTCTGAGAAACACTGGAAAAGATACCTGGTGCCTGAGGCCAAAAACACTGTCTGGGATGACAGCCCCATCCTGTCACAGTAAATCAAGACTGTAAATCAATAAATCATAGTAAACCAATTTACTACTACCATAGTAAATCAAGACTGAAACCCACAGCAACACTAGAGCCTCCTCTGAAATCCATTTCACCAGGTGTTCTGTGGGATTCAGATAAAGTATTCCCTCCTTCACCCTATCTTGCACCATCTTGAAATGGTCCCTATCCTTCTGCAGGGCCAGGACTCCTGAGGTCAAGGGCAGACCAAGGAGCCAAGCCATGGTTGCTCCTTAATCTTTTAAATGCCAGATCCATGCCCGCTTCTGGTGTGGTTTGCCGCCAGACAGCAGCTGACACATCACACCGTCTCTGATCCGCCCCGAGATTTGGGAGCTGCGCTGGAGTCCTGTCTCCTACCCTGGTAAATCTGCTCCATTAATAGCTATCAAAGAGCCTGAAGTTTCCATCCGAACTTTATCTGGCTTTGCAGTGAGCTGGAGGATTAAAACCTGTCGCAGGGGAAGGGAGGGAGCAGCCGCAGCTCACCCGGAATAGCCTGACCTATGACGGCACCCACCAGCCTGGGGAGGGGAGTTGTCCTCTGAGCTCACGGGTTATTAGCAGGGAGCACAGACATGTCTGCAGTCAGCAGCACACCCAGGGCCAGCTGCTCCATCCTGCCTGGTTCAGGGAGTCCAGAGGGATTTGTTATTATGACTTGCCAGCACAGCTCTTTGATGGGGGAGCTGGGAGTAGGCTTGGGGGCCAGCATTGAGGCGCCGTGCTCTGTGCTGCTCAGATGACTTGGGGTTTGACCTCTGGGCTCTTGGTGTGGGGCAGATCTGGTTATGAGGGAGAGCACTGTGAGGAGATAACCACTGTCCTGCTGCAGCCCAGGGCTTTGTCTCTCTGCTGCATCATAGCAGGTAAAAAAAGAGATCATTGTATGGCGGGGCTTGTCCATAGGGCCAGCAGACATGGGGCACAAGCCTTCATCTACCACATGGGGAGTAGTGTAGGAAGCAACAATGGCTTTTTTTTTTTTTTTTTTTTTTTTTTTTTTTTTTTTTTGTTTTTTTTTTTTTTTTTTTTTTGTGTAGCCAGGGATTCACTTCCTACAGGCTTTCTCTTGTACCGGGTTTTGTTTTCCTTGCTTTGTTTCTCTGCAGGCATCCCCAAGTCATCTGTTTCACCCACCCCTTGTCACCACTGTGGAATCACACAGGGTTGCTTCTTACTTCCTCTCTCCCCATTCAGAGCTGCTCCTCACCTGAGCTTTCCTCTTACAGCAGGCCAGATGATCCCAGACTAAGTGTGCATGTTCCTCAAGGGGCTGTAGAACTGAAAATTAACTCCTTGGATATAATGGAAGCAGGCATGTGGCTCATAATGAATAGGCTGTGAGTGCTGCTCAGTGTTTTGCACCAGGAAGCACTGAGGCTGTTCTAAGTCTTTGACCCTGGTGACATACTCCAGATTCCTCCCAGTTAAATGCTCTCCTTCCCTCCCCTCCAGGCCTGAAAACATCACATCTTTTGAATAGCCAGACAGATGCATTGCCCTGTAAAAATCTCCTTTGTATCTCCAGTAATTCTATTGATCTGCACATTGAGTGAAAAGGAAATTCTGCTTTGGAATTTACAACTTGCATACTTTGTTATCAGTCATGGGTGCTATTGGTGTGCCTGCTCTTAGGATGCCTAGAAAGTCACCCAGCAGGTGGGAAACCCCTGTTCCATACATCTGACAGCTTAGGGGAGTGCAGCTGAACAAAATCTGGAGGAGATACTACTAGATGAGAAGGATGAGGCCATACTGAATCCTTGTCTCTTGCTGGCATGGCAGAGGAACGTGTGACCTCAGCAGCAGTGCTGCTATGGGATGTGCTCCCCTTTGCTAGAGTGAGTGGGCACAGGAGACACCAGTGTCTGGTGTACAGGACTCTGCCAGTACAAATAACATTGCTTCTTCTCTCTCCAGCAAGCTCTTGTGCCAAGGGCTTGTGAGGAAAAAGGGAATATTCATGCCATGTATGTCCTGCTGTGTAGACAGATTTACCAAGCACATTAGGCATTTGTGGCTGCAGTGTTTGCTGTTGGCATTTGAGCTGTAGAGAGTTGTACTCAAAAATCTGGTGGTCCTTGATTCAACTCTTTGTGACAAAGGGGACACTCTTTGTGTGTCCTTTTCCCTCCTTTTGCTGACACTGGAATACCTCAGCAATTTCTGGAGGTGAAGAGAAGCTGTTGAACAGAGGGAGAATGAAAAACAGTGATTCCCTCCTAGACATTTAATCCCAGCTGAAATAAGGGGATTTAGGAGCTGGATGCTGTATGACTGCACTGATTTATCCCATGTTCCGCTACAGTTACTGTGGTCAGGGGTGAGATGGGAATATCCATTCATGTATGGGGAAGAGAGAAACTGAGATTAGCCAAACAGGCATAACAGGTGTTCTCCCCCTCAACAGTATAAAAAAGCCATGAGAATGGGCCAGTAGGTACATGGCCAGTTGAACTAAATTATTGTTGTAGGTCACTTCAAATTGAAAGTATTCTATTCTACATTGTGTTGCATGATTCTTTTCAATTTCATTTTGGGGACTAATCATGAAAGACTGATCCCTGCCTTGCAGGGGAAAAATTCTCTCTGTGTTCTGAAGAATCTGGTTTGGGTGACTGTCGTGGCTCTCTGGCAGTCCCTCAGTCTGGGAACAGTTACTGATGGTCTGCCTGAAGACCTGGTGTCAGTTACAGGGACCAGCTTTTTTTGCCTTAATGCCCTTTTCCCCAAAAGGGGGAAACTTATAGCTGGGGTCTGTGGGTAAAGGGCTGTTCTGCTGTGCACAGCAGAGCAAGGGGGACTCCAGCTTTCCAGTGCTTTCTGCCCCTTGGGCACTCATGCCCTTCCCAGACAGGGCTGCCTTGCTTGTTGAGGTGCTTCCTTTGTAGCTCACCTCTGGCTCACCAAAACCTCCTGTGGCTGAGGATGGGGTGGGCTTTTCTTTGGTTTCACTGTCTACTGGTAACAAGGCTGTTTGTTTTTTTGGTTTTTTTGGTTTTTTTGGTTTTTTTTTTTGGGTTTTTTTTTTGCATGGTTAGGTTTTAGTTTTGATTTGGAGAGATGATATAATCAGCCTTACCAATTACAGGGTATATCCTAGTCTCCCTGCAGCTGGAGTTTCTTGGGGCATGGCAAATAGCTGCTGCCCTCCTCCACAGGTTTTCCCAGACTTCTTGTGAATGTACCTGCCAGCCCAGAACATGAAATGCTGTTTTGTTCCAAGCCTGGGAGCAAACCACTTAGCTGCATGGAGAGGGAACTAGGAGGGAAGGGTGATAAGAGAAGTAGTCTGATAAGGATTTTTTTACAGACTGTGTGGAGCTGTGCTGTGCAGGGGGGTGGCAGCTGACACTCTCAGAAGTGACACTTGGACTGAGTGTCGCACAGATTAATGGTGTGAGGTCCCCAGTGGCTCTCGGCAGCCAACTCTTGCCAAACATGTGCGTAGTGAGAAAAGGTGGAAAGAAGGTGGGAGTTTCACTGCTCCAGCCAACCTCTCTCCCTGAGATCTCTGCACAGCTCTCTTGTTTGAGGCCAATCCTGTGCTTCTGGGAGCAGAGCCCCACCCTGTCTGTACTAGACATGAGTGTTAGATCAGGAAAAGTGTAACTGCACAACACAGGGCATATTAGGGATGTGGTTTGTGTCTTGCTGGTTCAGGAGATAACTGGATTGCTGTTGCCTTGTCTGCAAAAAACATTAGATCAGTGAAAGAGAAGCCTCAGCCATGCTCTTCAGTACAGCAGAATGTAAGAGGTCCGAGTTCTTCCTGACTCGTCTGTAAATCTGTTTTCAAACTATGACTGTGTGGAAAAATATTCTGAAAATCTTGAGCAGAAGAATAAGAGTGACTTTTTAACTTTGGCCTCAAGACCAAAAATGTGCAACTGTTTCTTTCTCTGCTTTGCTGTATCTGTGTTTGAAGTCTCCTTTCTCCTCTCTCTGCAGGTCCTTCAGAAGCTTGGTAAAGCAGATGAAACAAAAGATGAGCAGTTTGAACAGTGTGTGCAAAACTTCAATAAACAGCTGGTAAGATAATTGCCAATACGTAAACGCACCCTGGGTTTCAGTGTTAGCCTCCAGTCATCTGCTACACTGTAATTAAAGGCCATTAAATTAAATTAAACAATGACATAGGCCTATTGAGGTGACCCGTAACTCGTAACTTCTCACTTACAAGAAATGACATTGTGACTTCCAGGGTCCCTTTCATGGAATCAATGAGGCAATCATAGATCATGCTGAGGTGGATGGGGCCCATCAGGATCTGAAGTCCAACTCCTGGTCCTGTGCAGGACACCCCAAGAGTCACACCGTGTGCCTGAGAGCAGTGTCCAAACGCTTCCTGAACTCTGCCAGGCTTGGTGCTGTGAGCACTTCCCTGAGGAGCCTGTCCCAGTGCCCAGCCACACTCTGGGTGAAGGACCTTTTCTTGATACCCAACCTACATCTCCTCTGCCTCAGCTTTATCCTGTTTCTTCAGTCCTGTCACTGGGCACGAGAGTGAAGAGATCAGTAAAAGTAATAGTTGTTCTAGACCCAATTTTAGGGAAAAAAAAATAGCTCAAGGTGGACACTTTCTTCAGTTAGCAGCTGCTTTGTAATGTAATTTTTGCTGCCCTGCTGGAAGTGGAGATACAAGAGCAACATTGTGTCCCTGAATGAAGGATAGGTTGGGAAACAGATTAGAAATAAAAAAATAAAATGGAACAAGGCAGTTTCAGTTTCCTAAGCACAGTGTAGGGCAGAAGAGAAAAAGAAAGCAAATGGTGAAAAAGGAACATCTTTCCGTGGCTAAGACCTAAATCTGACTTCTTCCCCATACTTGCACAATCACTGTGTCAGGCCTGAGTCATTATTCTTCTGCTTGTCTGCCTCATCCCAATATTTTAGGGCGCAGAAATATTTCAACAGTGTAGCAATTTTTCCCCACCCTCCTACTTCCACAGCAGTAGGTTTCAATCTTCAACTGGGTGTGCTTTGTTTTACTTTTTATCTAGAACCTTCAGCCTCCCAGAAGGGAAAACACAGTTACCTTGTGGATTTTGCTGGTGCTTGTTGTCTGGGGAAGCATTGCTTCTGTTTTGTGGCAGGAAGTGTGTGCCACAGCCTAGCTCAGGTGGCGCTGAAGAAATATTACTCTTTTGTGGCTTGACACATTTTGGACCTTTTTCTAGAGCTGTTAGTGGCAGCTGCATCATGTCTGTGGGGACTCAGCAGATGTGGTTGTGTCGCAAAACCAGCTGAGTAGGGATTTGCCACAGCTGAATGTAATGAAAATCCTTCAGTCTGGCTTTGACTTATGTGTAACCAGAGCTGATTGCAGATTCCTGGACACTAATGCTCGTTCTCTTGGCAGCAATAGTGGCTATTGCTCCAGAAGTTCATGCAGCATGTCCAGCAATGATATTCTCTTGTACACTGCACAATACATTTTAACTGCTTTCTGACAACATGATATTACCAGATGTGACTTTTTGGGTATAATTTTTAAGCAATTAAGAAATAACCTTTATAAATGAGAAATAAAAAAAAAAAACCTCAAATCCAGATTGCTAGATGTGACTCTCTGGGGTGGCTTTTTCAATTTCCAAAGCCATGAGTTCCAGTGGTGCAGTGAGGAGCCTGTTAAAGCAGCACTGCATCTTGTATTCCTCACATCTGAATTCTTTTCCCCTGTTTTGTGGAGCAGACCATGAACTAAATTCCCCAAATAATTAAAGAAGCTGGAGGCTGCTCTGCATTTGCTGCTTGAGGTCTGCTGGCTTTGCTTAGGCCTTCAGTTTTCCTATTACTAAAATAAATGTAGACAGTGCCTGTTTTACAGGGCAAACCATGAGTGTGAGTTAGCTGGATTCTTAGGATATCCAGAGCTGAGGGCTAGGAGAATAAAAAATCAGCTATATATACATATATACACACTTCTTTATATTTTTATATGTATAAGGTGTATGTAGCATAGTTATCTTTGAGAGTTCTATGAACTTTCATTATAAACTCTGCTCCAGTGGGGAATGGAAATCTGGAGGGAAGCTGACCTTTTGCTGCAGGCTGGTGACAGAGCAGCGCTGCTCTCTTGTGGAACTGGCTAGGGTGTGAGCAGGCAGTGACCTTGTTCACTGGCTGATTGGAGGCTCCTCTGACTCTAATGACTGTGTTGGACCACTTTGACACGTGTTTCTATGTGTGGTCTGTTGAGGAATGGAGTGCAGGTCTAAAAAGCAATCATTTTCAACCAAGATATTTGTGGTTCTCTCAAATAGTGGTTGAGTGTACATAAGGGAGGACATTGCACTCTCTAACTCTCTGTCCATTAGGCTCATATAAGAGCACCTCTCTGAGGTCCCTGGATGGTATGAACTGTTTGGCTCGGATGGATTTGCTTTGTGGCAAAAGAGCTGGACACAGCCGTGCAGGTGCAGGGCTTGCCTGTGTCTCCTGAAGGCTTGACAGGCAGCAGAACTGCCCCTCATTACTCCCTCATGGAGATTCTTTGGCTACTAACCTTCCCAAATGTCCATTTGAAGGTTCCCTCCTCCTTCCCTTTCCCAGTGTCACTTGTATTCAGTCACTGGCATAAGGATCTGTCCCAGATACTGTCCTTGCTGACCTGAGAGCAGAAGTCCTCCTGTAAAGGTGCAGCTCAGCTGCTGCCTGAGGTGTGCCAGGCTTTGGGTTCTCTTGCCCTGTGCTGAAGTACTCGCTGGAGGGACAGTGTGAGGCTGGTGGCAGCTCTTACCCCTGGCACTGTGTGTGTTTCTGCCTGGCAGAGCTGCTGGCTTTTGATACCCTTCATGAGCTGCCACTTGTGTGGAAGTTCTGGGCTGGTTTCTGGCCTGTCACACCAAGCACACAGAGAGGGAAGCTGCTGCTGGCACAGGCTGCACCCACCTCTGCCTGCACCACACTGTGTTGGGCACAGCTCCTGCTGCAGGGCAGGCAGTGGGGACTGCACCTTTGCTATCACAAGTAGGATCCCATTGCAGTCAGTAGCTCAGAGAGAGGGTTTCTTCCCTGACAGGAACCTTTCATACCCAGCAGTTTCCATTTCAGCCCTGTGTGGCAAAACAAGCTTAACAGCCTCTCTCTGGTACCCCAGGATGGAGCTTCTCCTCCAGTTGTTCATGCTCTGTCTTAACAGTTCTAAAGCTTTGCTGAGTGGGGGCTTACCTGGAGCTGTTGTTTCAGAGCTTCTCCTCCCTGTAATTACACCGTCTGTTCTTCCAGCCCTGCATTAATCTAATCTGGAACAGGACATTACCTCCTGCCCCCTCAGGTGTCAAACATCCCTGCTGGTAATCCTTCCCACTAGAACTGCAAAACCAGAGAGGTTATGTAAAGGGGTTGCAGTCTAATATTAGGATGAAATAATTCCTTTTTAAGAATGGGGAAAAAGAGTTTTAGGAAACCTGTCTACTACCAAGAAGCAGCTCTACAGAAAATCACATATTTAGCTAGGGCTTGGGTTCAAGATAAGAAAGCACAGAAAGGTATCAAACCACTTTTGTGGTTTTGTTTCACAGAGCTGTAAGTAATAGGTGGTTCATTAGGTCTTTGGGAAGAGAGAGAGGTCTTCCAGCCTTCCAATCATAGCACTTTTATTTTTAAATATCCATCTGTCCTTCATGTTGTACTTTGTTGTGTTGTAGGCTCATGGGCTTGAATTGCACTGTGATTGCAAGTGTGGCAGTGTCTGCTCAAACAAGATGGCACTCGTGTGTTTAAACATCTTCATCTTGAGCCATACCTCTGTAACTTCCCTCTGTACACCTTTCAACTCTTTGATAACTGGGAAGTGGATTTGTTTTTCTGATTCCATTTGACTCTTTTCCCTACTTTTTTTACTGTTCGATTTAAGAAGCATCTTTTAGATGTGCACTCAAGAATGTTGAAAGTTTCTGTTTTGTATAGTACTTGACAGTGTCTAGCTGCATTGTGAGAGGTATTTTGGAGGGAGCATGGAACAGGCTCCTCAGGGAAGCCATTCCTGGAAGTATTGGGAAAACACATTTACGTGGCACTGGTTTAGTGGGCATGGTGATATTCAGTCAAAGTTTGGCCTTAGGGATCTTGGAAGTCTTTTCCAGCCTTAATGATTCTATGATTTATGCAGAATTGTAGCATTACCTGACAGCTCACTGTAGGCTGCTTGAAGAAAGCAGGTGCTGCATGCATAGAGAGAAAGCAATGATCTTTTAAGTTACCCCAAAGTTTTATGGGAAAGCATTAATGCTTAAAATAATTTTTAAAAAGCCTTTGTGGCAAGGGAGCTGTTTTACTGGTGGACAAGAAAAAATCTACAGAAATGCCAGAGAAGGAGCTGGACAGGAACCACAGGTAGCTAGGGGAGCTGGGAAAACAGGATTCAGAGCAAAACTCTGAACACGGGTCTCTCATTGAAAATCTTTCTGCTTGCAGATCTTACAGGCTGTCAAGTCTGTTTGCTCTCTCTGTCAGGCTGAGTACTTTTAGGAGACTTAGGTAACTCCATGATGACAGGGATCAGCTGAGTTTAAACATCAGCAAGAGGTGACTGAGACCACTGCACCTGCAGGATGCAGCGCCACTGGTGAGGATCCTGGAGAACACAGAAGGCTGGTTCTGCATTGCTGCAATTGCATGCTCCAGTTTTCAGCCCTGACTTGTAGGTTTTTCAGGTGATCTATCTAAAAATATTGATTAGACATTTAATTGTGGTGCTGGTTTTCTGCTCAGAGGATACTTTTGTCTCCATGGCTTTGGAACTGGGTATTGAGACTTGAAGAGTTCTGAGTTTGGCTTGTGTCATTTGCTGCTGTGGCAGGATTAGGGCAAGCATGGACACAATTTTAGAAGTGGCTTCTGATTTTAGATGCTACAGTCTTGAATGTTACTGCTCCAGACATTGCAGTGCCCAAGTGTGTAGGGGGCAAGTTCTGCAGAGGACCTTCCCTGCTGATAGTTTTTGATAACCTCCAAATTGTGAGTTGAAATTTAGTTATTCTTAAAAATGATACAACTGCAGAATGATAATGTATCCATTGGTGGGACTTTGCATATCTTTTGCAAAACAAGACTGCAGAAAAGAGACCACTGCACCTCACAGCCTGCTGTCATTCTTCCTCCTTCCCAGTTTGTGCCCCATTGTGGGGGCACCCCAGCATAATGAATTTTGACAGCTGAAGCGAACTCCACAGACAGGGAACTCACAGGACATCTTCAACAGCTGCCTCAGAGCTACTGACTTCAAAAGCAGATGTTTCCCATCAGCTCTCCCCACCACTCAGGCACCTCTTGTCTCAACTGAGCTCATGCTGAGATCCTTTGTGCTCCCAGTGCAGCTGTGCTCTCTAAGCAGTGGCTAAATCTGCCCAGCTGTTGAAGTGGCAATGATAGCACAGCTTTGTGAGAAATCCATCTGCTTCCAGCACATGGCCCAAATTATTTTCCATGCCTCGAAAGTTCTGGATGAGTTCACATTTGTTCTTTTCCTCCTGCCATCAGCAAAGGAAATGAGGGATTGGAAAAAGCTGGCCAGTTTTACAAACAAAGTCTTCTGGTCTGGAGAAGTGTTGGGAACTGACCCAAAGAGAGTACAGGAGGAGAGGAGTTATGATTACATTTGCTGCAAAAGTCCTAGAAGTTCCTAGGACACAGAGCAAAAAAATACAAAAAATGTGATATCTTGAAGTTTCATGTGATCATAGGACTGGTGTGTAGCCTGTCTGCTAGACCAGTTTTCTTTAGTTAGAATTGCTTGAGTGCTTCTTAGACCCTCTCTTTAGCTGAGGGAATAACTAATGATCTCCTTCCGTTCGCAGTCCGAAGGCACGAGGCTGCAGAAGGACCTCCGAACTTACCTGGCTTCTGTCAAAGGTAAGGTCTGCACGAGCAGAGGTTTGTTCCCCTCTAGTGCTTACCTCCACAGTGAGATTTCTGCCGCCTTCCCCTCCCTGGTGTTTCCCCAGGCGTGAGTTGCAGCTTTGTCAGGTGGGGATGCCAAACACCTGGTGGTGTCTTAGCAGATGGACCTTCACTGTTCTTCTAGGGGAGGATGAACACGAAAGGCTTGATGCAATTGCACCCTTAGTTCCTTTCTCCCTCCTTCCATCTCTGTGTCATCAAGGGTCAGACATTTAGTAAGGAAGACCTCAGCATCTGTTTTAATGCTCCTGTGCCTCCATTCCTCAGGATAAAGGTTAAATTGTGAGGAACACATTATTTTCTTCTTTGTCTGAACAGTTCCCTCTTCTTTCCTAGCTATGCACGAGGCCTCCAAGAAGCTGACAGAGTGTTTGCAGGAAGTTTATGAGCCAGATTGGCCTGGGAGAGATGACACAAATAAAATAGCAGAGGTAAGACTTTGTCCAGGATGTGGAGATGTCCACACTTGCTCTGTCAGCAGAGATGAGCTTTGGAAGCTATGTCTGTTCACCACATTTCTTCAGGCATATGACTTTGCAGAAGAATTGGAGACAAACTCAGGACTATGAAGAAAGGAAGACTGGAAGGATGTGGCCAGTATTTTTGTAGGAGATTGTTGCCAGGTGCTTGTACATTACACAGAACTGTACACTTATGCCCAGAGGCTGTTTGTTTCCCCTGAGTGGCTAAATGGGGACAGAAGATTCCAACAGAAACTCAGTAGGGCCAGCTGGGTGTACTGCTTATGTTCTATATAAGAGAAAGAGGCAGATAAAACTATGGCTAAAGCAGTCAGAGCAGCCAGTTGTGTAGCTGCCACAACCCCTCATGGCAGTGCCACCAGCTGCCTTGTTCCAGTTGTTCCCTTGTTTGGCTGAGCCATGTGTCACCCCAAACTGCTGGTGTTGTCATCCCTGGCGAGGTGATGTCTGTGCAGCTTGCCCAGGTGTTTTCTGTGAGCTCAGGGCACAGCCTGCCATTTGGCAGTGTGGATCCCTGTGCCTGGGGTGGGTCCAGCTGGAGGCAGCACCCTCTGCTCTCTTGCTCAGCTGTTCTGCTGAGCAGCAGCTGTGGCAGTTCAGCTCTCTGCATTCATTTGCTATGAGGCTGCAGGACTGGGCTTATCTGCAGCTGTCTGTGCCATTGGAGAAGTGGTGAAGGAATAGACAGGAGAGCAGAAGGAGTATTCTTTCCTTCTCCTCGATTCCCCTGCAGAAAATCTCACCTGAAATAACATCTGTATCTTGCCGAGGAAATAATGACTTCAAAGCAGATAATTCAAACAAAATCTGAACATTTCCAGGTCAGTTTTTTCATTAACATGGAAACTTTGCATTAGGAAGTGCTGTTGCAGTAAATAATGGAGTTGTATTTCAGCTGGTTTGACTTGACAGTCTCTGTTGGCCTTGTTTTTTTCCTGAGCCACTGTGGTGCCCCTTGAGAGATTGAGCCTTTAGAAAATTTGAGTCAGAATGATCAAAGGGGACATGAATCCTGAGAAGTAACTGTAGCTACCCTTTGGGTCTGCAAGAATATTTCCAGCTTTCCACCTTCCCCTTTAATTCCTTGTTCATATTTTGCTTGTGAAAGGACAGGTGAGAGAGAAGAGTTACTCCTGCCAAATAAAAAGCATGAAGTGGGAATTTTTCCTGAATGTTTTAGCCAAAACCCTTTGTTCAAGTGGAAAAACAGGAGAGAGGGGTAATTTTCACCTAATCCAAGGTGTTGATAGGAAATTGCTGTGCCTGAGCTAAGGTCAAGGATAAAGTGGGCACAGCTCATGGTGCATGCCTTGTCCTGCACTGGGCTGTGGAGGCAGGTGGTGTGAGGGCTGAACACTGCTAGTGTGGCTTTCTGTTGTTCATGATTCTCCAGGAAGCTGTATTGTAACAAAAACCAGAAAATGGTGCCTTGTGGTGTCAGGTGTCCCTTTTTTGTAGCTGCTGGGAGAAGGAGGCAAAACCAGCCTGGCAATCACCTTCCGCTGTACGGACTTGAGTTTAACATTGCAGGGGAAAGAGTTTCAAAGGCATTTTGTCCTTGGAGAGGTCACCTGAATTAGCAGCATCAGGCTTTCTCATTTCTGCCAAGATCCTTTATCATTAGTTTTCCAAAGAATTTACTGTTTCTTAAGAGCTCTGAATGCCCAGGATTGTTTGCTGTAGCATTCACATAGAAAAACAGAAATGTGGAGCCCTGTGTTCTTAATAGTTAACTCATGACTTTTGTTTTTCAGAACAATGATCTCCTATGGACAGATTTCCATCAGAAGCTGGTGGATCAAGCACTTCTGACCATGGATACATACCTTGGCCAATTTCCAGATATTAAAGTAAGATTCTCTTGGAACTATTTGGTCTAGAAAGTCACAGCAGATAACAGCTCTGAAGATCAATTTCTTATATCCCCATCTGCTTTAGGAGAATGTGTGCTCTGCTTCTCCAAGGTCTTCCTTAAAAGCAGCCAAGATCTCTGCAGCTCTGGGTTAATTTGAAAATGTCTTGTTCTATTTCTGGGCTTAAAACAAGAGTGAAGAATCCAGGGGAAAGATGCTGAGGATAAAATATAAGTGTGAAACAGGAGGATCCATGAAATTCTCTATTGCATCAGAGTGCAGGGGGGCAGTGTCAGCAATAGCTCAGAAGGCCTCAATCTCTTTTTGGTCCTTTTGTCTTATAACTTCCTTGTAAGTAGAAGACATTGAGGAAGCAGTTAGTGGCAAATCTACTTTGTGAGCAGAGGCTGGTGTAGAAGGCAGATTTCTGTGAGTCCTTGAAGTCCTGCTGTGTGTGTACCCAGCTTTTTTTCAGGGAAGGGAGAGTGCTGGATAGGTGTCTTTTTTGGGAGAGATTGTATCCAGGGGCCTGGGTTTGAGTTCTGGCCTGTGACCTTCCCTTCCCCCACAGTTATCTCCTCTCTATTCATTTTGAGGTTATGCAGGAAATGTCTTCACCATATGGAAGCACTAGTAATGATATCACCATATGGGAGCTATCAGCTTGGCTACTTTCCAGTGAAAGCAGCCCTTTCCCCAACACATGTCTCTCAAAACTTTTGTCAATATTTATTGCTTCAGGAGGGTTGTGCTCTGTCAGATGGGGGCAGGTCACAGGCTTGTGAAACGAGCCCTGAACAGCAGTGTCCTTGTCTCCTGGGACTCCCTGTTTTTACTTCATTTTTCCAGCCTCTTCTGCCCCTGGAAGTCTGGTGTGGGGAAGGGCTGTGGCTTTCCACCCTCTGGAGGCTGTAGGGCTGGTCTCTCTGGGTGTGATGCTATGGGCCTCAGTCAGAAGTGCAGCCTGTGCTGCTTCCTCAGCAGGATGCCTTACTTTGGGCTTGCTGTACACTCAGGCTTTGGCACTTTGCTTTGGTCCGAATCCCATTTTACCAGTTGTCAAACATTGCTAAGTCTGTGCAGAAGTATAGCTAGGCCTCACATAAGGAATTGGAGTTCTTGATATTTGCAGGCAAAAAAAAAAAAAACTCCGGTCTTATGTCATTTACAGAATATTGATGCCAAACACGTGGTGGCCAAACACGAGTTGGATTTTGTTGTTGCGGCATTAGTTTTCTGGTTTTTGTTTTCCACAAAATGAAATTTTCTGCTTTTTCTGGAATTCTGGCATTATCCTGGTAAAAGAAGTGGATTTATGGAGAGAAGATGATTTTAATTTTGTTGTGAAAAGGCCTGGTTTTATTAATGGCCTAGTAATTAAAAAGTGTGATGAGTTAGATCATGCATGTGCTATTTTTTTGTTACATTCTAACGTGTTCTCCATCCATCTTTACTTGAGGGGCTATAAAAATTCCCTTGGATTGTTTGGACTTTAAAAGGGATCCACAGCAGGAATTTGAAAACAGAGCATGCTTTTAGAAAGGAATTTTTATGTGTTAAAGAAAATAATTTATCCAGTGTTGGATGTTCACCCCTGAACAAGGCCTCTCCATCTTCTCTAACTTGAAAAATGGGAATGTACTTTTTTTGCAAAAAGTACTTTTAACTTTCTTTTCAGGTCAGTGTCTGTACTTCTTGGAGTAGGACTCTTTTTGCATAATTTTTGATATTTCTGGGTGAGTTTTTAGTTGGTTTTGCTCCATGTGCAATAATAGTACAGGTCTCTGCAGTGAGGCCAGAGAAGATAAGCTACAGCCCAAGTCCTGAAAAGCTATTGAATTGGGGATTTTCTGTCCAGCAATAAAACTGGTGCTCTACTAGCTGTAAAACCAAACATTAGTAAAGAAGGGTGTGGAGGGCAGAAGTTTTTTGTGATGGCTTGGGTTTGTTTTTTTTTTTTTTTTTAAGGGGGCTCAAGATGGATTTGTTGCAAAGTAGTGAAGTCTGTTGGAGTTCAGCTGTTAAATTTGGGTGATGGTGGATCCCTGCACTTATCCTGGAGTCATACAAGGGAGCCTTGAGCCTTCCTAAAAATCCTGTTAGTGCCATCACCAGCAGCAGTGCGCTCAGTGGTTACTGCAGGAGGGCTCACACCCTGTGTGTCTGTACCTTGCAGCATTTCCCTGTACTCCAGCAGAAACACAGGGGTGGGTATTAGAAATCTGGGAGCTGCATAAACATGGAGGAGTGACTTTATTTGAAAGATGGGTGACATTGAATCAAACTTCCTGGTGGGGTAGCCCAAAAAACTGTAGTGGCTGTGTGGCCATGCCAGAGGTGGGGAAACTCCAGCTGTCTTTACCAGGCTGACCTGGGGGCAAAGTGGTATCTCTTCAATCCCAGATGGGGCTGTGTTTCCTCTAGTGTGTTTGTAAGATGCATTAAGATGCATCTCAGATTGCTGTGCTGCTGAAAGCCCCCTCCAATACCTTGTCTCCTGGCTGGCAGTGTGGAGTTGGGGAGGTGTCTTCTAGTGACCTCGACTGTGGGGTGGCTCAGCTTCTTCGTGACTCCTCTCTTGGAGTGAGCTGAGCATTTAGAGGAGAGTTTGGGTGTGCATGTGGCTGAGATCCTGCAGATCTGCTGTGACTCACCCAGAGCTGCAGCAGAGTTTGCTGGAGGAGCAGAGGAGCGTGTGTGGGAGATGTGTGAGCTGCTCCAGCTGGTCTGGCAGGGATCAGCCCTGAGCGCGGTTCTGCAGTGTATCTGCAGGAGCCTGGGGAGAGGAAACCACAGCTCCCTGCCAAGGCAGGAGAGAAGGGGATTCTGCTTTTGCAAGTAAATCCCAGTGCTGATTCCTCATTCTGCACTATGTCCCTGGGTTTTGTGGTTAATTAGCAATCCTCCTGGCTCTTTGCCATGCATTTTCGCTCTGTTATGCAGCCTGTCTGTGGGCTGCTGATTACTGACGCTGGTCCAGGCTCTCTGATCTGGGGGGAAGCGTTATGGTAAGGCTGGGAAGGTGTGTGCTCCAGCCCAGATAGTCTGGGGTGTTTGCAGACAGTGTGGGAGGCAGGGGGCAGAGGGGATGGATGGTTCCTAAAACAGGGAAACCCAGTGGGCCAGAGCCTCAACAAAGTGCAACTCTGCTAAGAGAGAGCCTTAGGCTCCTCAGTTCAAGAAGGGTAACACAGGATCAGGCCACAAGTCTGGTACACATTCAGCTCCCTCCTTGTATTTGTTTTGGCTTTAGTCTTGTGTGTTGGTGACCCAGTGCTGCAGGTTTTCCCTTGCTTGAATGCTGGTGACAGCAGACCTCTGCCTTTGGCAGTCACTACTGTCTGCAGCTTCTGTCACAGGGTCCAAAAGGCTGTCCACGGCATGTGGACGAGTGCTTTTGCTGTGCTGGCAGCAGAAATGCTTTCTTTTGTTGAATTTAATCTCTCAGGCTTCCACACAAACTAGTGAGCTGGTTAGTTAGAGACTGGCTGCAGCCCTCAGGAAGCCCTGAAAATAATGAAGGATGTAGGATGCAGGCACATCGTGGGGCTTAGGAAGCAGTGGAGCTAAAGTTTTGAAAATACACATTACCCAGAGGTGGGGCCTGTTGGCTGGATCCCTTCACCTTCCCTTGATGGCTCCTCTCTCCTCCTGAGGTGCTCCCTCTGAAATGGTGCTTGCCACAGGTGGCTCCCAGGGCCACCTCCTGTGTGGAGGATGCAGGGAGAGTCCTTGCGTGGCCGGAGTGTGGAGTATTCTGGAAGTTGGGAGGGTTTTTTTCCTGAGAGGTTTTGCAGTTTTGGCTGCTGGGGAAGATTGGTGTGACTCTTTTCTCCATCTTTCTAGTCTCGTATTGCAAAGCGAGGAAGGAAGCTTGTGGATTATGACAGTGCCAGACACCATTTTGAAGCCCTGCAAACTGCAAAGAAGAAGGATGAAACCAAAATCGCAAAGGTAAAGGAATCAGGAGGATATGCAGCCTTCCTTTCTTTTTGGGAGCTCTGCATTTGCCAACTGAGCTGCTTTTAAGTTCCCCTGTACCTCTTCACTGTGTTTTCATAGAATTCATTCGTATTGGAGAGGACCTTTAAGATCATCAAGGTGTTGTGAACTGGTGAGGTTTTGCTAGGTATTTCCTTCTCATTTGTTTAGTTTTCCTGGAAGGCAGGATGGCCTCTTTTGGGTTGGTTCAGACCCACCATCATCAGTCTGGATGTCTTGGTGCCAAATGCTTGGGCATGGTTTTGTCACGTGCACAGGACCAGTAACCTCTGGCAAAAAGCCTGTGTGCCCTTGGGGAAGCAAAATCTTGCAGTGCTTCAGAAAAATGTTAGTTTATCTGCTTCTTGGGACTTTCTCCACATCCCAGAGCAGTGGTAAGAATATTTCAGTATTACTTGAAGTTCGTTGTGTTTGTGAAGCCTTCTGATATCCTAGAAGAGATACCCTTAGGAGTGTGAGTGCATTGATGGAAATGCACTCTGTGCACACTTGATGAATGTACTCTGTTGTCTGTTGGTTACAATTACCGATAATAAATATGGCTGAAAGCAGAAAAATAAGAGTTTTTTCATGTCAGGTTTCTTTTCTGCCTCTGAATAGCTTGATCCAGGGCTTGCCCAATAGTCAAGTGAAGAATTTTATTTTTAATGAGATTTATTTTATTTAAAAATGAAGTTTGCAATTTTTTAATGTAGTAGAAGAAAGGTAGTAGTGCTAATTTTGTTCTAGAGTAGGTGCATGGATTGAATACTGTCCCTGAAATGAGCTATGGAATCCTCTTGTACCCTAAGTGTATTTGAACCCGTGTGCTTCCCTTCACAGGACAGTTCTTGACACTTTAATAGTCCAGGGCAGGGGAGACATCTTTTGTTCTCTTCAATGTGGGCCATGACAAATTGTGACTCTTCAGAGTAGAAGCAGTACAGGAAAGAAAGACCCTGGATTTGCATCTTTTAACCAGGTTGACAAGAGTTGTCATCCTTTGCTTAGGGTTATTTCTGGTAGGAGGGAATATGAGCTATGTAAGAGATGCTGGTGTTTTTCCTGCATAAAAGAAATTAATATGCATCCCTACCCTGAGTGAAAGATGTGTGTTTAGTGGCCACACTACTTTTATTGTTAAGCTGCAAGTCTTCAGTCATCCACAGTGCACTGCATGCACTGTGATTAACCTTGACAGACAAAAGGGGAGAGAGACTGATGGCCCAAGTGTCATTGCATTACTCATGTGGCAAAGCAAGTCTTGATTCTGTATGCAAGGCATGAGGCCCAGCTGGTTGTGCCTTCAGTTCAAAGCAGTAATTCATTGCGTGTGGGGTAGGAGCAGAATTTCCCTGGGGCATGTTATTTTATTGATGCATGCCAATAGGATCTTTGGTGCAGTGGAAATGGTTTTGTAGGAATTGATCTACTCAGGTTGGTACCTGGTGCTCTGCAGCAGAGGTTGGCTGCCTTTATCACTGCTGCACTCACTGTTGCCCCAAGTGTTCAGCTAAGATGATACAACAGGTATGGAAAAAAGTGCAGTTTGAAGAGTGAAATATTGAGAGTTAGGAGATAGTGCTCTATTCATGATTTAGCCTGTGAAAGGGTCTCTCAGGACCTGATCAAACTCTTCTTGTTAGCCAAAGTGTGCACTGGATCGGATCTTTCCACCCTTCAGGCCATAAGCTCACGCACAGTGTAATACGTGACACATTGCACTGTCCTGATCCTGCCAAGATGGGAGCAGCAAGTCCCAGGGAGTTATGTATGTATGGCCTTCCCAAGTGGGCAGTTCTCCCTGCCCAGCCTGGGATCTGGAATTTTCAGTCACGCAGCTCTGCAGGGCTGTGGGCAGCAGCCAGGGCTCAGCGTGCACTCAGCTGCTGGAGGTAGTTCACCTCTCTGTTTCTGTGCCTGGAGTTTTGCTCCTGTGACCTTTGAAGTAGGTTTGTTCCAGTGTAAGTTACTTTGGAATGTGATGACAGACCCCTAGGAGACAGAAATGGTGTTTCTGACACAGGATACAAGTGGGAACTGACTTGATTAAGGTTTCATGGTATAGTAACAGAAACAGCAGTGTAAATACTCTTTGGCACTACATGGTCTCTTTTATTCTTCTCTAATATATAGATGTTCTTTTCCCACCCAGGACCCCTGCCACTTATTGCTAAACTTACATCCTGCTATTAAAATGAATCACTGTAGACTTTCACCTGTTGCATGCAAATAATTATGATGATTAATTAATCCTGACCTCTCTTTAAGGAGCTCCAACTTCACAGCCATGCCTTGGGGTAGGGTTGTCTATGTGCTAGGTCACTAACAACTGTATCTGTTGCTCTTACAGCTGCCTGGCTGGTCTGCAGTATCCAGCCCACATGGGAACATTAATTACTGCTAAACTTGGCATGCTTCAAAGGATTCATAACTGATCAGTCCTGGGATGTTTGTTTTTTTCCTCTCGCCTTGGTGATACTGGTTTGGCCCAGCCTCTAAATACACTCTCTGTTGTGATTTTAATTTTTTTTATCCTAAAAGATATATGTTTGTGTCTCTCTTGTTCTCTGTTTATTTGTTTTTCTTTTTTTTCCCACTCAAACATGCTCCCTCCCCCAGCCTGTTTCGCTGCTTGAGAAAGCTGCGCCTCAGTGGTGTCAAGGGAAGCTACAAGCTCACCTCGTTGCACAAACTAATCTGCTCCGAAATCAGGTGACTGCTGATCTACCTGGCTCTAACCCTGCATGCGCTATTTTGGGCTCTAGGTTGTACCCTGCCGGTAATCTCTAGGCAACGTTCACTCTAGTCCTCTCTGATAAGTGTGTCCTTGACACTCCTTAGCCACAGTGGGCATGTGGAAGTTGCTGACCAGCAAATGAATCTGTGCCTGCCCAACTGATTTCTAGTCAGGTGTGTTAATACTGGACTGTTGTTTTCTCCCCCAAGATGAAATGTGGCTGAAGAAAGGCTGTGGAATAACTCTGAGGCAGAGGGTGATGTAGTACACAGTTTCTCCAATTACTGCTTTCATTTTGCTCTAAGAGAAGCAGTCAATTTTTATTGTTGTTTCAAAAAAAAAGAAAAGAAGAAAGGGAAATGCTGAAAAATTGGCATATGGATTCGTGTCGTAGAGTAAAGCCACAAAAAAATAACATTGTGATTTCTGTGGCTGCTGAGTTAGCTTGCAACATTCTCCTGTGATATTCCTCAATGAGCACTGTCCTGGCTGTTGTGTTTTACAAGAGCCAATTTTAGATACAATTTTGATCTGCAAAGGAGAAGAGATGGGCTCAGATCAGGCAATTTGTACCCTGTGTGACATATTTGAACAGGCTGACATCAAGGTGGCATCAGCTAGCAGAACTTAGGTTATAGCATCTTGAGAGACATCAGCAGCTCAGAGGAACTGCATGGAATAAAACTTTCAATCCTACTTGCATAGAAGTGTGACTTTCTGATGAAATCTCTGTCAGTGTTTCAGTTGGAGCACCTTAAGGGATAAGAGGGAGTTGTCACAAGACAGAGAGGAGAAAATGCTTTCAATGAGCAAGGGATAAAAAATCCTTACCCAGACTGGGAGAGCACCAGTTACCTGCTCACAGGTTCCTGGTGAGCTCATGTGTTCTCATTCAAATGCTCCTATGTCTTCACATTCCTTGTTCAGGGAATGAATTGCACTTCAGAAATGCCTCTCACCTTATGAAGCCCCTGCGTTTTTCACAGTCACTTTATGACTTTGGATCAGGGAAAAGACTCCATTACCACATCAGTAGAGCTTGGGGAAAGAACAGCTGTTAGCAGCCCTGCTTAAGATGCAGAGCAAAGGGATGAAATACGTATTCATTCTAGATTGAAGGGAGAGGCACACATGGCAGCCTCCTGGGGGCTTTTCCTGTGCCTCTGCTGGCCCAGCTGGGAGCTACCTGCACAGTTGTGATTCTTGACTGGTCTGTTTGACTGGTGGTTTTTCTGGAGGACTAGAAAACAGGTATGGGAAGTTCCTCAAGTCACAAATACATGTATAAATCTATCAGCTCTTGAGCATTTTTCCTCTTCTCAGGCTTGGCTGTGGTGACTGCTATAATAGCAGCACTTACAGACTGCCCAGAGAGGCAGTACCTGTGAGTGCCTCCTCGTCCATTGCCCATGGAACTTAAGCTACCAAGAGTCTCTCCATAATTTCACTGTACTGGGTCACTTTGCCCTACAGCATGTGCAAGGCACTCTGTAATCTTTCCACCCACTGTGGTGCAGGGGTGTTAATCTCCCAGTACATGGCATTAATATATTCAGTGACCACAAATATTTTCAAAACACTCCCTTTTATTCCTCTGTTAAGTAATGCTATTGCTGACCCTAATTTTTTGTTTCTATTTGTGTAAGTGTTTGGGGTTTTTTCTTTGCTTTTTTCTTTATTTTAATTTTACTTTTGGATTGGAGACTAACAAAAAACCCCCTTAACAAAGAACATTAGTTGTATTCTCAACCTGTAGGTTTTCCAGCTTGCCTTCACAAACATTAGTAGGTAGGAAAAAAAGGCTTCAGTTTTTACATTTGTGTGATTTCAAGACTGAAAGTGTTAATGACAGCCCTAAATCTCATTAACCTCTTGATAAAACCAGGAGGGCTGATGATGCTGGATTTATTGAGAAGCTTCAGAATGTTAAGCCTAAAAAAAAGTCTCCTTTTACCAGCAGCTGTGTTGCTGTCTCTTCTTGCCTGATATTTTTACAGTCTCCATGCAAAAATGGGGTCAGTGAGATCTGGTGTTTCTACTGTAAAGCAAAGTCCTTCCCTCCAGTGTGCAAACTTCTGGCCTTTAGCAGATAAAAACAAAAACAACACAGTGGGGATTTTTTGTGACGTCTGCTGTGGGAGTTGCTATTGCACACTCCCAGTTAAAATGTCAGTGACTGCTTTTTGAAACAAAGAGGAAAATGGCTTAGAACAGCAAATTCTTGTCTTTTGACGAAGCTCTGCTGACATGTTTAATGCAGACTAAAAAGCAACATCCTTGATGCTGCACTGATAACAGAACAATATCTCTGTCTGTAGGAAAAGGTGAGCAAGTTGAGTCCTTCTGAGAGGCAGGTCTGGCTGGGACTGGTGGGGATTGGGTCTGGAGGGAGTCTTCCTGCTCTCTTCCTTATCCCTGTCTCTTGGATAGCTAAACTATTTACTGAGCAGTGCCTAATTACCACAATGCACAACATAGTCTTTGAAGTTAAATGGTCACCAGACTTCCTGAAAGCACCAGGCTGGACATAACCAGGCACTCAGGGGGGCTGAGATGTGTGGTACTAGCAGAAACAGTGTGGAAAAATTGTCCCCTGCTACAGCTGAACTGGTTGTGCATGGCACTCTGAGCTTCGGCCTGGTGGAAGGTCAGGAAAGTATTGGTTGTCCATCTCCTGTTCAAACCTTCCCCCTTTCAGGCAGGGAGAGGAGAGAAAGATTTTCTGAGATCCTATTTCATGGGTGTGGGCATTAAGTCCTTCTGCCTCGGTTTCCCCTCAGGGTGGCAGGGATGGCAGCCGAAACAGAAAGTGCACTGATGTGGCAGTGGGCTCTGCCCTGGAATCTGTCTCTGCCTGTCCCCACCTCACTCCCTGAGCTGGCTTTTTCTCTGGAAGGGCTTGTGACCAGGTTGATGTCTGGCTTTGGCCCTGGATGGAAGCAGTCAGGGCTATCAAGTGCCAGGATTCCAGCTTCCGAGCAAAATAAATCCCACTGGTGAGAAGATCCCTGGGCAGACTAAGGACTGAAGAATTATTTCAATCCTCTGCCTGGGGATGAGAGCACTAGCTGAGCCACAGGCCCTGCTGCATGGATCCCTGATTCCTACAACTGCTTTAGAGTGAACGTTGCCTGTTACTAGTTTTGCCTTTGCCTCGGGATGTTGCAATATTCACGCATTGCTTTCTAGGTTTTTTGACCTTATAAACAAGTAAATGAGAGAGGGAAAGAATGTTAATGATATTCACCACATCTGAAAAACTAACAGCATTCAATGATGCCACATCATCTCCTGGGTTGATTCTGGTTCCAGTTCTTTGGAAGTTAGAATAAGATAAAGCCAAGGGGTGGACTTGTTGGGTTTTTTATTTTTTTACTCCCTTTAAAATGGTTGCATTAGAAATATTCATTCATAAAGGTGTTTTGCAGTAGAACAAGTCTGTGTGATCATTGTCTCTTATTCAGCATAAACTGTGTCTCTGTTTAAAAGACTTTTTGTTTGTTTTGTGCAAACCCTCTTGAAATGTTGAGTTTTTCAGTGAGTGTAGCAGCGAAACAGGGGTTTCTGGGTGGAAGCATCATGACCCCTTCTCCCCTTGCCTGTTCCTCACCAGGTCTTAATTTCTGAATACCTCTCAGATGTGTCTTTTTACAGAGGAATCTTTTCCCCCTGCTCTTGAGTACAGAGCCTTAGCCTTGCCTATGGCAGCAATGAGCAACCCTTTGACAGGTGAAGCTAGCTGGAAAGTAGGAGCTCCTGTGGTTTGCTCTTGAGTCAGGAGAGAAATGGAGAGTGAAGGGATCCTACTCTATATAATGGAGAGTAGTTCCTGTGAGGAGCAGGATTCAGGGCAAAATATTTTTAAGCCCTTTCTCCCATATATAACTGCCACTAAGGAGCAGTAAGCTGGATTTTTTTAAATTAAGCTGACACAAAGAAGATAAAATTTGATTTCATAGAAGGTGTAGGAATATGACTGCAGGCTGGTAGGGAGATCCAGCTTCCATAGCTTGTGGGCTCTTTGCTGAGGCCTGTGATGTTGTGAAACTCCTGCTGTTGTCACAAATACAAGCACTTGTGCTGACCTTCCAAATTGCTCATGCAGAGTTTTTTTCCATTATACATCTCAGTGCATGGCAGAATGCTGTGCTGCTATAGATTACAGGATAGAAACATTTTAATTAGGGAACTTTAAGTCAGGGCACTGAAAAGAGAAAGAGGTGACTTAGGACAGATATAGGAAAGGGCATGTGCTTGTTGCTGGTTTCTGCTGTCAGCAACAGAAACCAGGAGCATCGTTTTTGTTGCTGAAACCTGACAGAATTCATCCATCAGTGTTGGGATTTGTCAGTATCTAGGTTGAATGAATAGATCAAATTTAAATTCTCATCTGGGAGAAGGAGATCAGTTCTGGAGTTGGGGCCGATGGTCAGCCTGGGATTGCGCTTCTATGAGACCATGGAAACCAAGATGTGCTGCTGAAGCCCTGCAGCCTGGCCTCCCTCTGGCACAACTCATGCTTTGCATACCCTTCCTTGCTTCTCCAGTCAGCTCTGTGGGAGTGCTGTATTGGCCAAGGATGCAGGCCTCCTCTCTTCCTCATAGGAGATGGGGCTTTGGCATGACCTTACCTCAGCAGAGAGTCCCCAAGAGGGAGGATTCTTCTCTAATGCCATTTGGGATGGGTTTCAACTCTTTCTGAGATCTGGCAAGGGACAGAGGCCCCTATTACTTTCATCTGTATCCAAGCTGAAGGCTGAACTGCCTGACCAACTCCTTTCAGTTTTTGAAGTCAGGGAAATTTAAATAACTTGAAACACATTAGTGGTTGTTTGAATTACTTGCTGAGTGTATAAATGGGGAAATCCATTGAGAGCACTTGAGAGGAACACATTCAACCTAAAGGGTCACTCACCTATGGTGCAGCCCTGGTTCCTGGGAGACTCATTTGGGATGCTGGTTACCTCATGCCAGAATTTTGCCTGGTCTCCCAAAGAAGTCAAAAGAGTCACAGTTGTTCCAGCCCTGCAGGGTACTTGTCTGTGCTGGAGCTGACAATCTCCCTTGTCTGTTGCTAAGGCTGAAGAAGAGTTGGTAAAGGCTCAGAAGGTGTTTGAAGAGATGAATGTTGATCTGCAGGAGGAACTGCCTTCACTGTGGAATAGGTGAGTGCTGGAAGTTTTCCCAAGGGCTAGTTGGAAGGAAACGAATATCCAAGCTCTTGGATTGCAATTCTTCTTAGCCTAGACTGGGTGCTTGCTCTTTTTTTTTCTGGATTGTCTTTGTCTGTCCTGGTATTCCCCCCAGCCACAGGTTCACTCTTGTGCTTTACTTCATGATTTTCCTGAAAAACGTGATTTTACTACAAAGAGAAACTGTGTTTCTCTGCTTTGTCTGCTTAATGCCTTTGCCTCACCAGCTCTGCTCAACTTTCTTGAAAGACTTGAGAGACCATGGGTTTGCCATACCAGTGATTGTGGTGATGAAAAGGGAGGTGAAGCAAAGACCAACACTTAGCTTGGGGGATGAACTGCAGGGCAGCAGAAGCTGATTTATGGGGACAGCACAGTGGAAAGCTGGCAGACACTTCCTAGCAGTGTCCCAATTTCTTATTTTTAAATGCAGTGGTCATGTCCAGGTTGACAGTGCTGGTCTGTGAGGATTGAGAAAGTGGGCAGCAGCGGGGTGGCAAAGCCAAGTGCTGATGTCTGCCTTCACTCCCCTTTGCACCAGCCTGAGTCAGGACTCCCTGCTCGCAGCAGCCTGCAGGCCTGGCTGGGGAAGGAGCTGGGAGGGACAGAGGCATCTGGGTGGTTCCCTGTGCAGAGCCCTGATGCTGCTGGCCTTGGACAGCCTCTCCTCTCCCTCCTGCTGTTGCTCCTTTGCCTGGGTGCTGGTAGAGCACTACCTGCTGGCAGCTGGCGGGCTGGTGACAGGCTGCTGCTGGCATTTTGAAGTGCTACAGGTTTTTCACGGGCTCTTGCTTTCCCAGCTGATCCTTCTGCTTCCCTGTTGCTCTCTGTGCTATCCTTTGCTTTCTTACTCTTTCTGCCCTTGAAGCAAACAGTTCATGCTTTTTTTGATTCCCTGGTGCTAAGGGACTTCTGGATGAATTAATATCTGTTCCCCTGCTAATTCCCTCAGCTCTCCCAGCACTGTCTGCATCACAGCATCTATCCATTTTTCTTTCCATCTTTCTACTGCTGGTGCTTTTTTCCCTCTCCCCTTCTTTTGGATTTTTTTTCTTTTTTTTTCCTCCCCACCCTATACCTCCGTCTCCCTTTAGCCACCATAAATTTAGATCCTGTTCTACTCAGTCTCTTCTTCCCCCTGGACATGTCTGGCCTCTGCTCATTGTTCCATTTCCTTGCCACCCTCTCTTCTCACATGTACCATATCTGACAGAGCCGAGTTTGCATGGGAATGGTGGGTGGAAGGTAGCAGAAAGGGCAGGATTGAAAGATTTTGAGAGAGCATTGTGTCCATTAAGTTCTTCCGTCTTGTTTTTCATTTGGCAGTCGTGTTGGTTTCTATGTCAACACATTCCAGAGTATAGCTGGCCTAGAAGAGAACTTCCATAAAGAAATGAGCAAGGTAAGGCAACCAACAGCTTATCCTACTTACTGTCTCTTCATTGTTAATGAAAGAAAAACAAAACCCAAGATCCAGGAAACAAACAAAACTCAAACAAAACAAAAAAACCAAACAAAAAAACCCCCAAAACCTCAAGCTAAGAAACAGTTGGAGAAAATGGCCTTACGTTGGAGCATAATACAAACCCTTAGTATTTTTCTGAGCCACGTGGGACAAAGGCAGTCTGACACAGTAATGTAAAGGGTTGGAGCACAGGGAAGAGAACACAGATCTATGGGCAGCAGTGGGGAGTTCATGTCACTTGACAGTACTTATTTCCAGATCCACAGAGGAAGGGGAAGCCACTCTTAGATCTTTCTCTTGCTGCCATTTTTAGTTCATCTGCATTATGGATCTGTAACCTATAACCTGATAATGGTGTGGTATCTGTTTTTGTCCCCCTCTGCTGCCTGGCAGCCAGTTGCTGTGTACCCTCACTGTACCCAGGTGTGGGGTTAAAACCAGCAGGGAGTCTGCAAGTCGACTGAAGACTGAGACATGCCTCACTCCAGTGCCTCAAAAAGGCTCTCCCCCACAGGATCCTCTCTGCTTTGGCTTCTTTCCTGCCCTGTGACCCAAAAGAAGGCATTTAAGTACTTAGTGTGGGCTTTATGTGGGCTTCCAGTGTGCCTTAAGTTGGGAATCACAAGAGAAAGCAGTGTTGGCAAGGCAGATCCTGGTGCTGTGTGGCAGCACCCACAGGAGACCTGAGGACCAGTCTGTGGGAAAGTCCCCCATTGCCACTGTCATTTACAGATATGTTCTTGTTCTTTCAGTTAAGAGCTAGAGAAATCCTGAATCCTTAGGTCTGTATGCTGCTTGAAAATGTAAATATTGCACTAATCTTGAGGCGGGACTGAGAGCCCAGCTGGAAAACCCTTAAATTCCCTGTGCTCCCTCATGTCATCCTGACAACAAAACAGCCACTAAGCAACAGGAAACATTATAGTCCTTCAATTCCCAGCAGCCAGGGGCCCTCTGCCTTGGTGTAACACATCAATTTTGAGCTCTGCTGACGTTTTATGGGGTCTTTTCCAGTTAATAGCCTGCTCTTCTCCACTGAGGGATGAACTAAGTGTTAAGAATAGGGAGGATTGTTAGAATTACTAGTTTGTTGCTGCTAACTCACATTCAACAAAACATGGGAAAGATGCTTGTTAGACAGGAATTCTCTTCTTGTATGATTTTTCTTGTCAGGATTTTTTCTTTCTTCAGGAATTTTGTATGAGGGCAGGGCCTTTGCTTTGCTCCATAGGAACCATCTGTTTCTTATTACTGCTACAGCATCCAATTAATTGCTGGTGTTGCCTGCACAATGCTTCCAACCTTGATTTCATGGGATCCCTCCTCTGCCAGTGATAAATCCAGCATCTTGTCTCATTCCTGGATTGGCTGTTTCAGAATAGGAGTGTCTGGAGTTGCAGCCTTCAGTGCCAGGGAGAGTTTAACCCCTAATATTACATTTCTGCAAAGACATCCAGGTTCTGCCCAAGCCTGGATGGCCCAGGCAGCTGGTGAAGTTGAGGGTTGTTCACCTGAAGGCCAGCTGCCTTTGGCTCCACAGTGGAAATGGCCATGTCCCAAGCCTTGGTAAGCAGGCCTGAGAAACAGCTTTTGGCTACGAATCCTGAGTGAAGCTGCAGCACACAGATCTTAGGGAAACAATCAAGCTGCTTCTGCAGTGGTACCTGGCAGCACACTGGTGGGCCCTGGTGATGGGGAAGCAAAGAGGAGGATCTCTAAGGAAGACAGAGCATTCCCAGAGATGCCAGCAGCTCTTTGACAGCTCAAGTGCTGTAGCACTGCGTAGCCCACAGAGAAGTGGAAACACATTTAGGGTTGTCCTCTCTTGCGATAGCTGAGGAACTGTGCATGTCCTGCCACAAGCTTGTGTTGGGTCAGCCCAGGCTCTCTTCTGGCATCTGAGCTCCTTTCTCATTCTTTTTCTGTCTTTTGTTTTTGTGTTTTGCAGTTGAACCAAAATCTTCACGATGTCCTGCTGGGTCTAGACAAGCAGTACGCAGGCAATGCCTTCCCTGTTAAAGCACAGCCCAGGTCAGTAACTGTGGGTAGTGTCTTTCCCTCAGCAGGGGAGGTGGGACAGGGATATCTCTACCTACCCAGGGGTATTGAAACCTCCAAGCTGTCAGTTGTAGGTGATTTGCCCACCTGCCAGTGCCCTCCTGAGGCTTCCTAGAGCCATGCCCAAGATTGCACTTGGCACTGCATGATGCAATCCAGTACCTCTTACCTTTCTAGGATAGCATCTGCAGGCCTAAATGTTCACTAGGTCCTGATATTTAGGCAACTGACTCTCAGCTCTGCTTTTAAAATCTAATTCCAGCTGCTGAGCTGCCCTTCCTTCTGGGTCCAGTTGCCCAGCACCTGTCCTGTTCTTTCCCTCAAAAGCTCCCACCATGTACCTGCAGCTTGTCAGCTTGAGCACCATGAACCCATTTCCACAGCCCCTTCTTTGGCCCTCCACACGTGGAATCACCATTTTGCCAAAGCCTTATGCCCATCTTGTGTACCCAGCTGCAGTGTGTTTCTCCTTCCTGTGTGTTGTGGGAGTAGTTGCAGCATCACTAATACGAGGCCTCCTGAACTCCGAGCACTTCCAATCCATGTGTGTCCGAGGAGTGAGTGTCCTCTGGGCCTTCAGTTTTCTTTCCTCAGCTGGCTCCTGTCCTGTATGTTTAAGTGCAAGTCTGCACATTCCCTAGCACTGAGAAGGGAGGGAGGGGCTGGGCTCTGGATTGGGCTGACTGGCTCCCATCCAAGTGCACGAGTGATGAAATAGTGTTGGGCTCTGGCTTCCAGCTGCTGCTAATCCCACGTGCTGGGTGAGCAGGAGCACAGCCCAGGTCCTCAACTGGTGTGTTGATGGAGGGAGGTGGTGAAGTCAGCATGAAGTAAGGGCAAGCTGTGGTCTGAGTGCATTGGTTTAGAAGGGGTAGATCAGCTGTTGAGACCTCTGTGCTCCCTTGTCTCTCCTCCCAGTTTAACCTGTTGCAGTCATGCATAGATGACTTGCATGTCCTCTCCCAGCAATTCTTCCAGTGTGGTGGTTGCCAAGTCTAAAGAAAGAGATGGTTGGAGTTGAATTTTAGCCCCTGAATTCTGGATTGCTGACAGCAGATTTCAGTGATGTCAGTTGGAATGCTACTTGTGAAAATAATGTCTTCTTCCCTTCCAACAGCAGGAGGTTGTGGTGCCCATCCTCTTGCTGCCATGGGCTGTGTTGTGTCTGTTAGCAGCATCCTGCAGGGTCCTTGGAGGAGAACGAGGTAACAGGACAGATGAAGGCTGTAGCTATTGCTTTGCCCAGCTTCTTTTTCCTCCTTTCTCTATTCCTCGAGGAACTGATTGTAGGCAGTAGTGGCAGCCTGGACCAGAGATGTCCATTGCTGTTGTGGCAGAAAGTTTCTGGCCTTAAAGAGCTTTCATTGAACATATTACCTGGTTTTACAATTCCTGCCCCATCTCTGTACAGCTTCTGCCCTGTTCCTCCCCCAGCCTGCTGTCTTGCTCTGGGGCTGTAACAGGTGTCTCTGCTGCAGTTCTGTGCCCTTTGGCTGGCTAGGAGACCACATGGCCCTAAAACCCAAAGCATGCACAGGACTTCCTGTGTGGGCAGCAGTCTGAGTGCTGCTGCTTCATCACCTGCTTTCTGCATCTCAGCTGAGGTGCCAGACCTGCCCCAGAGTGAATCTCTTCCTCCTGAGCACACTGGAGCAGGGTGTTGTAGGAGGATATAGCAAAGATTTGCCAGGCTAGCTCTGCAGTGACCAGGAAATGCTGTGAGGCTCTTCTGTGTCTGCTGCACATCTGGCCTCTCATTGTGGGCAGGGCTGGGGTGAGAGTGTGCAGGAGGAAATGGCCCTCACTCATCTCATAGGGTCTGTAGTAGGAGCAGATGCTTCCCTAAGCCTTTTCCACTGGGAAGAGGACTGGAGATTGATACAATGGCAGGAAATGAATGAGGAGGTGTGAGAAGAGAGGCAGTTATCTGTACACATCATTATAGCATTCGTGTGAGGCCTTCCAGAAATACTATTGTGGCTGATGTATCTGGAGCTGGCAGAGTAGCACAGAACAGCTGGTGCATTTCTGGGAACCTCAGACCTATGTTTGGGATTTGCTTCTGGAAGAGTTAGGAATGTTCAGGGCTCAGATGCCTAGAAGACTGAGGAGATTTGTGGGATTATCCTGGTATGATTGGGCAAACTGGAAAAAGACATGGTAGGAAAGCTGCTGAGTAGGTTCCATGTGTAAGACTGCACAGACTACATAAGAAAAGAAGAATAGGGAGCTTGTTTCTTTCACAGCAATATTTACAGGAGAGAGTGAGGAGCTGTGAAAGGACATTTACAGTACTCTGGTGGTCTGTACAGTTTCCTTTTTCTTCTTCTCCATTTGCACCCTGGCCCCATATTCCAAAGTGCAGGGAAAGTTCTAGTTTGCTTATATATATAGATATGTATGTATGTTTTTGACAGGCGTAAAGATCCTTCTTTTACTTTCTCCAAACCAGGCCGTAACTTTCTGGTAATGAAGGGAAGTGTGTATGTGTGTATTCATGTGTGTGTGTGAGAGAGAGAGGAGATCCTGACATCTTAATTACAGCGAGTTTTGTGGCACCAACTAAATGGGTACTTGGAAGCTTAACTTTTCCTTCCTGGTTTGACTGTGCCATCCTGTAACTGAAATGATTTGCGTGCCATCCTCAACAGAAAGAAAACTAAACTGTTCGCCAGGCTGAGGAAAAAGATGAGCAGGTACCGGTATGGAGAGCAGCATTTCGATACGTGTTTCATTTAGTTCCTAAAACTGGAGAGGCTGTTGCTGGACTCTAACAGCCTGGCACGTGTTAACCCTGTGGTGGGAGAGGGGTCCTTTGCATGATAAGATGTGTTTGTGGCCTGCTGGGTCCTGCTGAGATCTCTCTGTGTCTGGATAATCCCATTAACTGCTTGTGTGCCTGGTTTGAATCCTTGCTTCTTTTCCTATCTAAGAAGGCAGTGTGAAAACTCAGGCATTGTCTGTCCAGTTGTTTTTGTGTGATGGAAAATGCAGTGCTGGGTTTTCCATGGGAAGTATAATCAATTTTGGTGTTTAACAGCTTCTAGTTTTACCTAGTGGGCTTGTCCTTTTGAACAGGTCTGAAATGCTGCATTCTCATCCCCTGCCTAGCCAGGGAGGACCAGTAGACAGGTCCTTCACACTCAGAAGTCCTATCCTATCTACTTGTTGCCATTAGGAGAATGATGAGATGGGACAAGAATACTTCCAGCTTTGCTCCTTACTTGCTCTATTATTGAGGATCCTCACTATCTTGCTCCGTCCATTTAAAATTTTGTGCAGGACTGGACGAAAAGGAAGTCTCTTGTCTTGTATAACGAGAAACGACTGCATCTTGCCTTTAAAACAGTGATAGCATTGGTTATCTGGATTGCTACAATGCCTGGAGTTACCATAGGTCAAGGACCCTGACAAGAACATGCTCTGGAGCAAAGTGGGAACTGCTGCATAATGGCATGGAAAATTCCTCTGTTTTTTGTTTTTACTTTTTGTGTTGGTACTTCCTCCGTGGGATCTTTACAGGGAGGAAAAAAAATTATCATCATCAAGATGGTGTCCTGCCAGCAATAAAAGAAAGTACTGGTGGATTGGGATCCTTGTTTTTCCTGATCTGGCTTTCCACAGACTAGGGCAAGTCATGCAGCCCTTCTCTTTGTGTCTGCTGTGCATTCTTTGTAAAGTGGGAGGTTGGAGAGTGAAGAGTGGTAATTTCACAAGGAAGCTGATGGGCAAATTTAGATGTTTATATCTTCAAATGCAAGTAGGAAAGCAATATATTATGTTGTCACTATTTTGAGGTTTTCTACTGTAGGAACTGGAGTACTTCTCCGGATGTCTGTCTCTAGTATTGGTTGGACTGGTGTTGTTATCTGTACCAGGCAGGAGGTCTAATATTTCCAGTCACAGAGAGTGGATGGATTATACAGCAGAAGGAGAGCTCGTAAACCTCCCCTTGATGAGCTCTACTCACCATGGGCTCCTGCTCTGCCTTGGTAAAGTCTAGCTGACCCAGCAATGGAGGTGCCTGACCTGGGCTCTGCTGGGAGTTTGTGCTGTCATTGCAGCTGCTGGGGTCACAGAGAAATGTGCAGTCCCTAGTGCAGACAGGGAGGATGTGGAACTCGGTCAGTCTTTGATCTGCAGCAAGAATGTACGTTTGTGCCACCATATGTTTGGGCGTGTAGGTTCTTTTTTCCTTCTTTCTCCCACCCACTCATTTTAATTTTTTAAAAAATTATTATTTTATTTCTAAATAATTCTCCAGCGTGCTGTGGTGGTAAAAAATTCATTACCTTTGGCTAAAAGGCCCAGTGTGCGCCTTAACTGAGATGCCAACCTTTTTTTCTTTTTTAACTTGAGAACTTGGCAGGACATGACTGCTCTGTTTTTACCATATTGGAAAGTAGGTTTATCTTCTGATGTAGGATTGTTACAAGTGCAAGGGAAACTCATCTGCAGATGTTACTCTTCCCTTCCAGAACAAATGAGGCAGCACCTTGGAGTGTCTGGGAGCTCAGCAGCACTGAGAGGCTGGGGGATTTTGACTTTCCTTTCAGCTGTATTAGACCTGGGTCTTTTTCCAGCTCTCTGTTTGCAGAAGAAAGTTGACACCCCTTTCCTTTCCTTGCCTGATATTCCTGGAATTGCCATCACTTCCCATTTGCTCATGGGAAGGAAAAAGAGCAGTGACCTTGTTGTTTTGGCTTGCTTTTACTGTGGTGCTCATGTTTGGTCAGTAGGTAGAGTCCCTGCACTCTTGCTTTTTCCTGTGTTTTCTGGAGCAAGCAGTTAGCTGGAGACAAGACTTCGCTCTGTGTGGGCACTGTGTGCTCCCTGGGGACATGTGAAGGACAGAGGATCCTGGTGACTATCCCACTTGATGCTGGTTGCACTGGCTAAATTCAGCAAAGTTACAAAGCAACAAGTGCAGGAATGAAGGTGCCGCTCAGGGGGCTGAAAAAGGCTCAGCCAAAATTAGCACTGGCATTTTCCTAGGGGGATTGGCCAACACATCAAACAAGCTGTAAATAGTAGTGACTTAATGAAGGCTTTAGTGTTGGGCCCTCACAGCCCAATTCTTCCCCTCATCCTTCAGAGGCTGACTCACATGGGAGCCTTTTACCAATATATCTCCAAATTAAGTCACTGCCAGGCACTGGAAATAAGTCACTACAAAACTGTTCCACGGCCTTTAGAAAATAAGCCTGAAGTCCTTTCTCACTGGGAGAATTGGCCTTTTGAAGTCCCTAGAAGGAAAAGTCTACCCTTGTCTTGGTAGGCCAGCTGATAGTCCCAGTATTCCCAGTGTAGTCTGGGCATTTGGGAAGTCCTGGCACTCTAGATGTAAATCACTGTGTCCCCATTTTCTCAAGTGCTTTCAACTCCAAGGGAGGTAGTATATGTACTTGTTTTTTCCCCAACTCTGGCATTAGAGGATGTTATTTGACATTTCGTGGTGGCTCCTGTTTAGATCAGGACTTTACCTTCACCCTCCAGCCATTACTACTTTTAATCTGTAGCACAACTTTTGTCAATTTTTTTCAGAATTCTTTACAAACCGCAGGTATTGAAGTGATTTCTGGGAACTTCTGAGGAAGGATGCTGTTCAAACAGACTGAAGAGCTGCAGGGGTTTCCATACATGTTGGCATATGTGTTCTTTAGTCTCTCCTCCTCCCTTTTCCTTCTTCATGTCCCTCTTTCTCCCTTGGTGTGTGTGCCCCTGGTTGAGAGCTGCTGGCAGAGAATGTCATTGGGTTTGTTGCATCATGTTGGTGTGCTGTTGGCATCAGTGTCATCAGAAGTATCCAGCCTGCATGTGGACCTGAGAAAAAGTGCTTTGTGGGGAAATGTGTGTGTGGGGTGTGGATATGGGGGAGAAAGTTGGGGGGATGGGTGAGGGCAAAGTGAATGAAGAGGGAATGGGATGGGGAGCTTGAAAGCTGGAATGCTGAGCAGGGTGAGATGCTTGCTTGTAAGAGGAGGTTTGTTGAAATGCCTTGCTATCCCTTCTTCCTCTTGCTATTCCCCACTTGCAAACAGATGTTTAGGAATGAGGCCATCATGCATGTTGGCCAGTGGCCACCACAACTCAGGCATACAAGTGTGAGTGGATGTACATGTCTGAGGCACTGGGCTCTCTTGGGACAGAGCAAAGTAATAAATTACTTGATCTCCCTGCAGAATCAGATCTTGCTTTAGTGCTGGCTCTATGCCAGGATTTAGTGTCTCAAGTTGTAGGAAAGGGTCTGTTTCTTTCAGCTTTTCTCAAGGCCTTGAATTTCACAGGAACTGAGACTTTTAGTGGAGTCAAATATCACTCCCTGTAGATGAGGTTGCACAGCCCTTTTTACAATATGCTGTGATACTATATTTTCATCTATGTATGGTTTTGCCAAACTGTAACTACTTCTGCTAAAATATCCCCCAGCAGTGAATTTTCCCTGTTGAAATTCTCTGGTAACCAACTTTTTACTAAATCTCTCATGATTCTATATTTTGAAGCAGAGACTTGACACCCAGCCAGGGCATGCCTTTAGGGAAAGGCATGTGCCTCTTGCCATTCCTTTGAAAAATCTGCCCAAATCTGTCCAAGCTGTGAACCAACAAATGCCATTGGCATATGCTTCTTGCATCTTAATTTCCTGAAGAATCCCTCTTGACTGTGTGTCAGAAACAGTCTTGGAATAGAGACCAACTAGGGAGACTCTTCACAATAGAGAAATCTCTATTAGTAGCCAGAACCTCACTGTTCCTTTGCTGTCTGGAATGATATGTGAAACCTCTGGCTACTTTGCCTCTCTACTGGCTTAGTCAGCTCATACCACATGGAGGAATAAGATATTCTGTGTTCAGGTGTTGTGAATCTATTAGTCATAACCCATGCAGAGGTCCATAGATTGCCACATAGAAAAATTCCAATCTGTGGAATTTAAAACTGAATGAGCAGCCCTGAACTCCTTTCCCCATCTGCTTCCCCAGTATTAAAGACTATAATTTAACATCAGGCATTTATATGAAAATCTAGCAAATTTAAGGATGCCTGGTTGTTTTGTTTTTGTTTCTCTGTGTTTGAGGCAAGTATATAAGTTCTGTAGGCATTTAGTGAGTAGCTTGCTGCAAAGTCGTGCTGCTGCAGTGTGTTGGACTGCGAGTGACTCAGCAAAGATGCTTCTCAGGAGCTCCAAATGTCCTCATTGCATATCTGGGCAGTGAAGCAAAGAGATAATGGAGGCCACTGATCTGTGCTGGTTAGCACAGCTCCTCCTAGGCCTGGCTCAGACTTCTCTCTCTTTTTCTTCCCCTCTCTCTCCCCCTGTGTCCCTCTTTCTCTCTCCACTTCCTTCAGTGACAGCACCCCAGCGAAAGCAAATAAAAGCCCCTCGCCTCCACCAGATGGATCTCCCATCACCAGCCCTGAGACCAAGACTGTCAACCATGAGCTGGAACCGTCCACTTTGGAAGCACCTGGGGCAAGCATCCCAAAGTCACCGTCTCAGGTAGTGTCCCCATGACATTGACCACGTCTCTGCTGATGGCACAAGCTCTGTGAGCCAAAGTCATCCATCAGTTGTTGTTTTGGACCTCATCCTGCCACTAAGCACACAGAGTATCACATGATGGTTGTTCTCTTCCACTGGTTCCTGAGAAAGTTCCTAAGAATTGAAGTTGCTTATTTGCCGTCTTTGTATTATAAGAACTGAGTGTCTTTGAATGGTTTCACAGGGAGAAGGCCAGAAATACTTTTTGCTGTCTGATAGGATGGCCAAGAAGATCCAGGGAGGATGGAGTTGTAATTAGGCGAGGAGTTTTGTTGTTTACGTTTGAATTAACCAGTGGAATTCAGTGGTCCAGTTTCTTTTTAAGAATTTCTGTAGCTGAGAAAGGTTGAAATAAAAAAGCTTAATATTATAAGAACATCTGTACGCTGGATGATGTTTCACCTTACTATCAAAATACAATATTATGCTAAAAAAAAAAAAGGATTATATTTTTATGTTAGGAAGAAATTAGGTGAGTTCCAGGAAGAAGATAGTCCATTGTAAGAAGTCTGATACCTTCCATATGGCCTTCATTAGGCCTTTCCTTACATAGGAAATATCCAGCATCATGTTCAAAATAGTAGATACAGCTACTCAGCTTATCATCTGTGTGTTTTACTTTGGGAAGATAAAACATTTACTTCATCTCCTTGTCCCTCTGTTGCTGAGTGGGGAAAAGCCTAGTAGGGAAAAGCAGTAGCTAGGCCAAATTTACATTGGGTTCCAATCCTTGTATCTCAGTAAGTGGGACACTGGGAGAGGTCTTCCAGGAAGAATTAAAGCTAAGAGGGGTTCTGGCCAAACTGGTAAGAAAACCCACTGCCTGTGAAAAGAGATGGGTGCACGCCAGAACTTCCTTGCTGTTCCCATGCATAGCAGTGTGATTCCAAATCCAAGCCTGTGGGGTAGTTTTTCTACTGTTTCTAGATAGTCTCTCACTATATTGTTCTCTCCACTGCATATTTGATTTTTAGGATTATTGAGGGACAGGTAGGGGATGTGTGGATGCCTGGCAGTGTCTTTTCAGGACTTCTCCAGGGTCTCTGAACAGCTTGGCAATGCAGAGCCTACCCATGGCTTCATCACTAACCTGGTTAGGACCTTTGGAGTAGGCTGTGTGTGTGGGGGAGAGAAGATAGGATATCCAAAATTGCCCTTCTGTTGCAGGTTTCTTTTTTTCTTTTTCTTTTTCCCCCAGAGATTTCCAGAACTTGACTAATATTTGGAACAAGAAATCATATAGAGATTATTAAGCTGTTCACAACAGACTTCACTCAGCCCGCCTGTGGACTCAGCTTGCTGAGTTTGGTTTCTTCCCTTTCCTTTAAATAGCACGCATAACCCTTGTTTTTGCCAGCCTGCAAGTGCTTTCTCCTTCACTTGCTGCCTGTCTGCCCGCAAGAATGGGGCCGGAGGCACCCCTTGAGGAACAAGCAGGAGATATTCCAGCACAGCCCTGGCTTGGATGGGCCACAGGCAAGACTGAAATGACATTTGCAGCCAATGCTGCCACCGCCCGGCAGCCCTTTCCCAGTTTGTGTTTAATTCATCCCCCAGGCGTCATGGAGAGCTCCACTCCGTATTCACGGTAGCTGCTAAGAGCTGGAGCTGGCTCCAGAGGCAGGGAAGACAAAGGCAGGAGTTTCACACCCAGAGCCGAACCTGGTGTCTGTGTGGATAAAATCTAGAAACCGAGTGTGTGTCAGCTTGCCAGGCAGCTGGGAACACAAGTGTCTGCTCTCTCAACAGTGCCTCACTTTAACACTGAAATCTTCACAGGTGTCATTACTTTTGACCGATGGGTAAGTGATTTGTGCAGTGGTCCTCTGAGGGAGGCTGAGGGGCCTCACTGTCTTTGGGAGGATGGAGCACAAAGCAGCAAGCAAGAACAATTCCCTGGCCTCTTTGTGTCTGAAATACCAATGCAGAATGTAAGCAAGGCCGTGGAGAGAAAGACAAGACCAGGAGTGATCAAATAAATGCTAACTAAATTTTGAACTGTTCCCTATACAACCCAGAATAACTTCAAACTCTTTTATTGCCATTTAATTTTTAAAACCAGTTTATTTCTGTCTTTTGGAAGAAGTGAATGCTCTCAGCTCTCTGCAGAATATTTTGATGATGACACAAGACTTCAGGGGATCTCTGAAACTTAAAAGGTCAGACTTCTGCTCTCAGTTACACCACTGAAACTCTGTAATGAGACTTTTGAAATCAGTGCAACTGTGTGGAATTTGTGCAGATAAAGCTCTGTGAGATCCAAGTCAGCAGAAGGATTTTAGAGGATTTATTCTATTCTAGGCAACAAAGTTGTTAGTGCAGGATGAATTTATGGGTATAACCAACATCAATATGCAGTCATCTTGTCTTTGAAATGTGATTTTAGACTGCTGTTGGAAGTAATGCTGGATAGTGCGGAAGTAGTGATTTCCAGGACACTATTGCATTGGAATGAAGGAGACTGACTATTCATATAAGAGGAATAAATAGTAGAAGAGTTGTGATATTTTTGACTTGAGAGTTAGTAATTGGAGCCTTCCATTTCTGCAGAGGGTGGATCTATTCTGAGAACAGCATTTCCCTGAAACTTCTGGTCTCATCTTGCAACTGGAAGATAGGGGATTTTCAGGAAGCAATTGTTCTCGGGGAATATAGACACACTACCTTCTGCAAACAAAAAGTTGGAAGTGAACACACTTGCTTCCATTATTTCCCCTAGCTAGCTATTCTTGGGGAAAAAAGTGTATTTTCATATACAGTCATTCTCTCAAAAATAGTTTAATCCAGTAGAAAACTGGGCATGTCCTTAAAAATCTGAATAAAGGCTGTGTAGAACTCAGTTATGTGCTGGAGGAGTGTGAGCACAGACCTAGGAGTAAGGGATTTCCGTGTTTCAGATCTGGGTTTGACACTCATACACTGTGTGCACATTGTCAGGTCTGTGGGTCTTGCTGCCTTGGATGCAGTACCTAGATCAAGTAGCTTTAGAGCTTCATTGTAAGTGGGAAACACTGTCATTGCTGAGCATTGGTGTGGTGCTGGGAACTTGTATGGCAGATTTATTCCAACACAGCAGCAGCTCCTCAAAGTCTGATTTGATCTAGAAATTATAATTAAGCTTAGTGCACAGCAAAATATGAAAAATTGTGGATGGGTTGGTCTAGGTGGGGTCTACCACAACTTCCATGGGGTGTGGATGCAGTGTCAGGCTGAATCTTTAGCATGACGAGGGGTAATAGGATGGGTTACAGAGTGAGGTGGTTTATGTATTCACTGGGATCTCCATTTGGGAGACATGACTTCATTACTGTCAATGCTCACTGGTGAAACTGAGAGCAGAGTCGGGCTCACAGCAGTCATGGCTTCTCAGGAGTTTGAGTTGTTCTTGCCTAAAGCTGAGATGCTATCAAGAGCTCCTGCAGACCTTTCTTGCAGCACACTGGAAGCCAGTGCCCCAGGGAGCCAGTACAGGGCAGATGAGTCTGTCCTCATGGCCCCCTGCCCACTGTAGGACAAATGAAGTCTGTTTTCTCATTCCCTTAGGTACGGTGAGTATGGCAGAGGGAGGCAGTGCTGGCCTGTTCTGTTGGACCATGTTCTCTATAATTGATCTGCTCCCTTCCCAGTGGTTCTTTGAAGGTTGCACATGCTTTAATTATGTATGCATGTCCTGTCAATGCATATTAATTGTGTTACGCTTCTCCTCTGCAGAGGGAAACTTGCCCACGGCTGAAGTGTAACTAATGATGCCAAACCTTCTCTGGAGGCGTGTGGTTATTTATTTTGTTTTGTTTCAGTTCAACCCTTCACCCCTTCCCCTCTCTCTTCAGATGGAGTTGATTGGAGCCTACTCTGTGCCAGTGGTTGTGATTTTCCTCACCTTCAGTTTTTGTGACTAACCTGGTTCCTGTCTTTGGTTTTTTTGGGTGTCGCCGTCTGTGCTGTGGCCATGTGCTCACTTGCATGCAGTTGAGGAAAGGGCCTCCGGTGCCTCCGCCTCCAAAAGTCACCCCCTCCAAGGAGATCAAGCAGGAGAACATCATCAGTCTGTTTGATGACAATTTTGTCCCCGAGATAAGTGTGACAACCCCTTCGCAGGTTAGCTGCTATGCCCTGCCTAATTCTTCTCTGCCTCTGAACTCTTCCTTCAGACCATTCTTCTCTTTGGAGGTGTCAAGCCATGAAACCTGGTCAGGTGAAGGAGGAAGGCAAGCTCAGCATTGGACCTCAGAAGGCAAAGGATTACTTAGGAGCTGACTTAAAGGGGAGAGTACCTAAAAGGCAGTAAGAGGTTGCATTTTGAGAGCTTTCATTCATAGAAGAAACAGGAGAAATGCACCTGGTCAAGATACCAGAAAGTAATCGCTGCATTTGTTCAGCAGCAGTGCACATGAGTTATGACCCTCTTCATATCCTGTGGTGTGCTATGCTTTCTCCAAGCCCACTGATCCTGAGTATGGATGAAACATTTTTTTTCTGCTCATGTGCATCCCTAACTGCTGATCTTGGCATCTCTGCCAGTTCTTGGAGAAGACAGTTTTGTGCTCTCTGTGCCTTCACCTCTGGGCTTAAAGCCCAGGTCTGCACAGGAAAGGCCAAAAAGATTTTTCTAAGTTCTCTTTGCAAAGAGTAGCAGATGCAGTTAGATGGGCAGGACTGTGCCTGTAGTTAAGTGTGCTGACACAGTCTGTCAGTATTGTCAAGTGGCCTTCTGAACCCCTGAAGAAGGAAAAAGTTTTCAAATTATGGATTTTATGGATTTTCCTCTTCACTTTCTCTTTGATTTATGTCACTTCCAGAGAGGCTGTCCAGGTGGGAAGTTCTCTGTTGGGTCTAGGAGAATGGCAGTCCTTACGTATACAGGAGCCTGACCAGATTTCTGGCTGTATCATGAGATGCCTGCATCTACTTTATTTAAATATATATATACACATGTGCATATATATATTCCCTAAATGCTTGTTAAAGCACAAATCATATCTCTATCAGTGCTCATCTGTGACTCACTCATTCTCTTATTTCTCTTTGCGTCACGCTGCTCCATTGCCTCTGGTTTGCCACCTTCCACCCAGTTGCTGAGGGCAGAGATGAAGTGGGGAGGGAAGGAAGTCCTTGTGAGATTTGGCTTTGCAATAGATAAAACTTGCAGAGTGGAGAGATGATTTGACATCACTGCTGGAAGGCGGGGACTGCAGGCAGCTGAGCAACTCTTTATCATCATCTGTGTTTCCTTCTCCTGTATTGTATTGGACAGCTCTGTCTGTCCCATGGTCTCTATCATGTATTTCCATGTGAATGCCAGCCCTTAGAAATATTCTTCTGCACCTGATCAGTGCTCTGAGCCAGGATGGGATCTGCTGTGACTTTTGACCGGATGGGAATTCTGAGGGAGGACTCTGGTTTCCAGAACCATCTTCTCTTCAAGGGCCCAGCAGTCCCTGGCACTCAGTGTGTTGCCCAGGGCTGTTCCTGTCAGATGTCTTAGTTCCAGTGAGCTGTCTTGTGGGAGATTTGGGTAAAGACAAGGAGTGTTAGCCCTTGCATTCAAGTATTGAATGACAGGTAAGACTATTCCGTGACTGCAGCCTTTGAGGTCTCACTACTAAACAAAGTTAAAGATTGGGGTTGTAACCTCTCTCATGGGTGGCTTGGATGTGCTGGAAGAGCATACTAGAATGCTAATGGGTTTTTGCATGCTGGTCAGGGCTCATTATTGTGAGATGAGAGCTTGGTTCCTTATCCTCATCCTTGTGGATCTCAAAAAGACATGTTCATAAGGCAGAGAAAAATCTGTAAGAAAATTGGGGTAAGAGAAAATTAGAAGAGGTGAAAATGATGGTGACGTTGGTGGTATTCAGAGGACTTACCTCAAATGGTAACTTACTACTTTCCAGAAGCTTTTCCATTGTGGGATTTTCATATAACTGTGGAGACCAACCTACCAAATTTTGTGTTATTGAAAAGATAGCTGAAGCAATAGGGCCGGTGAGCTGGGGGGTCATAGGAAACAGGAGCAAGTCTTTTGACTTGCCAGAGACAGCAGCTTCCTCTGAAGCTGAGTAAAAGCAGTATCTTGTGGTGAGATTAAATCTAAACCACCAAAGTGATAGTCCAGTCTTAAATGCTAATGATTTGTGTCCTTTGTAGTTATTTCTTATTAACGGTAATCAGCAAATGTGGGATAGTTGTCTCTAGGTAGAACATTATTCACTCAAAGGGAGTTATTCTGATGATGTTGAAGAAAGTAGCAAAGTTTCTCAAATGTATGCTTTTTAGAAGGCTTACATGTGTAAGTTTATGGGATGCCTAGAAATGAAAACTATTGAAAGCAGCATTTTTGAGTTGGGGGTGGGGGGGATTCAGATCCCTTAGCTAGGGGGAGCTGCCATATTTTGTGTTTCTGACTCAGAAGGCAGGAAGAAATTAGCAGCTTTGGGAGTTAGCTCTGAGGTCTCTCAGCCTTCCCTTCCAGCAGTTTGAGTGGTATTCTGCCTGGATTTTGTTCCTGAGATGGGTTGTATGGATGGGGAGCTCTTTTATGTGTAGGTGAGGAAGTTGGTCTGTCAGTGTAAAGGCAGCTGGATGAGCTGTGGGGAACAGATCCACTCAAAGGAGCAACCTTTCTCACTCATCAGTGGCCATGATCTCTTTGACCGCAGCAGATCAGGTGCTCACACCTTGTCAGCTCATTTGGCCAGGTGGGAAGACGAATGAGTGCTGTGGAAAAGGCTCAGATTTGGTTTGCAGGGCCCCCATGTGAGCTGCCTGGGATTGTGGGCGCCAGGCAGTCGGGACTCACATCCAGTGTTTGCTCTGCCACCATTTCTTCTGCGCTTGCAGCCTCAGCTCTGGGATATCACACGCCCTCCCTCCACTGTGCACACGCGCGTGTCTAACGCTCATACTACTTTTCTCCCTCACTGCTGCCAAGTTTGATGCCCCTGGGCCCTTCCAGGAGGGAGCCAGCCTGTTGGATCTGGATTTTGATCCCATTAAACCAGATGCCACTGTGGGGAAGACCCCCACACCCGCCTCCCAGGTTGGTTCATATCGCCGTTCCTTCTCCCTTCATAACTGACTTGCACCCGCCTGAACGATAACATGGACCTGAGCTGTGGGTGGCTGGGCTTGGGTGGGTGCCCAGAATGGGAACCTTGGTCTTCTCTGCTGGATGTGCAAGTCCAGGAAGAATCAGGTGGCTGCTGGCCTGGCCACAGAGACTAGGTGTTTGTGGGGTGCTTGGACTTTGCTCTGATGATCCACTTAATGTATGTCCCTCCCTAGAGCAGCATCCTCTATATGCTGTATGTATTTAAGTTGTTACTCTGTGGATGGGAATTCAGCCTGAGCTCTGTGCTCCTGCTATAAATTGCTCTCAAAAGGATTTTTAATTAACAGAGACTTTGATAATCTGCAGTTACTTAAGGTGAATAAGGCTGTAAATGGATAATTCAAGTGATGTGAAGCCCTTTTTTATCTGTATGACACAGCTTGCACTCATAGTTGAGAAGCAGCTTCCTGCCTGTCACAGTGTGGTATCAAAAAGGAAGATGCCTAATTCTGTTCTGGCCTGTACCTGGTCCTGTCCTCTGTCAGAGGCAGGTGGACTGTGCCTCATTTTACATCTACATGACTGGAGGCTTTGAAGTGCATCCTGAATATGGTTGTTGTCCTCACTGAGATTTTCCATTTTATATGTGTGAACTGGCTATTCTTTGCCTGTGGATGCCACTAAAATTTGTAATTGACATAATTGGGTTGTTTATAGTACATCTCCAGTATCATCATGTTAAGTAGGTCTGTATGGCACAGATTTTTGTAAGAATAAGACTTCTTTTGTCAGAGCAATCAAACATTAGGCATTTTGATTCCCCTAAATTAAAATACTGTATCTGCAAGATACTAGTTATTATCATAATTGGATACACACCAATATGGCAAAGATATCCTTTTTTGGAACTTTATGTGGGTACATGGGCATTTTGTGTCTACTTGCCTCCAGGGCAAGCTGCATATAAGGATAAGCTTTTGAAAAAAAAAAAAATTAACTTTTTTTTTTTTCTGAATTACCAGCTAGAACTCAGATAATTGGTTATACTGACATAGGATACAAGTATAAATTTGATTTAAAATGGAATTATCCTTCCAGCAAGCAACAAATATTACACTAAGTGGGTTTTTCAAAAGTGCTCAGCAATAGCATGTTTAGTGTTCTAATCTAATTATTAGTACCTTCAGAAGTCATTAAAAGAGTCAAAAATCAATAATTTCTACTGGTAAGCAGAGTACAAAAATAGTGAAAACCACCTAGGTATCAAAACAGTCAGATTTATTTCCTTATATGGTGGGCAGTATGGCAGAGTGGTTAAGGTATTTTACTACTGATCCAAAGAACCACAGAATCCTAGAATGTTAAGGGCTTGGAAGGGACCTTAAAGATCTTCTGTTCCCAGGGATGTATAAATTCATGCACCAACAGATATTTTCTAAACATGCAGAGATAAGTGCTGTTGAATGTGTATGTCTGCTTCAGTCTGATCAGTGTCTGTAATGTTTGTACTCGCTGAAATAATCATGTATAAACATGTTTTATTTTTGTTGCTCTTTGACATGCTTAGTCTTTACCTTGGGATTTATGGGAGGTAAGAAATTCATACAGCTTTTGTCTCTCGTCATGTACTGTTCACATGCCAGTGCCAGCTCTGTTCACATGCCTGTCTCCTTTCCTTCACTGCTTCCCCTTCCTGCATACCCCAGGCCAGAGTTGCTCTATGTGCTGCTGGACCCACTTATGCACCTTGTATGAAGCCCCAGGGCCAACCACATGTTTGCAAGTCATTCTGGCACTCTGAGACTTACAATTCTACCAGTGCACATGCCCATTGCCTTTCCCTGCTAACCCACTCATCCTTCCCTTGGCATAATGCTATGACTTTCACCTCATACTTAATACTACTGTGGCATTATCCTCACTCTCTGCAACCGAGCATTTCCTAAACTCTCTACGTCCTGTTGGTCTTGTGTGCAATGAATAAATATCTCAGCTGTCATTAATATATCATCATTACTGCCTGTACCCTTAGATATGTACACATCTGGAATTGTCTGTGGTGTTTGCTGTTCCTCAGCCATCGTTGTCAGTGATGTGAATTTGTTCACCCTGTGTCTCCACTGGAAGTTAACTGCAGGCCCAAGACTTGCCTGGCATCTGCCTCAGCCTCAGCTTTGGAGCTTGCTGACAGGGAGACCCTGCACGTGCCCTGCATCTGAACCAAAACCTGACCCTCATTTATGCCCTCTCCAGATACGTGGCCTGGGCAGGTCTCAGGTTGCTGCACAGTAGCCCCTGAGAGATATTGCAAGCACAACTGCTTTTGAGTCCCTCTGAATTGGCAGCCAGCAGTGTGGACAGAAAATGCTTGATCTGGGTACTCAGGCCTGCTGCTGGAACTGGCTGTATTCACTGACAGAGCTCCTGGCCTTGGCTCATGCAGAGGAATTGAGTCCTGCCAAATTTCCCATTCCCGAGGGCCAGATGAGTGTACTTCCCTAGAATGAATGTGCTTGGAAGGACACGACTTAGCCCTGGCCTAAGGACTCACTGTGGCCCTACTCTCCTTCACATGAGCTTGGGTGATGTCAAGGACGAAGGTTTCCCCTGTGTGTTTTATCAGCCATCAGTGTTTAACATCTGTTGTTCCCCTGTATGTGCATTGTCAATCTGTCGTAGGGAAGAAGAGACTGGTTTAGCTAGGAAAAATCTCATTTCTTTCAGGTGAATGGGCAGGGGTCAGGTATGACTGATCTGATTGGTCAAGGTTTTTTTGACCACTTCTCTCATCCTGCAAACTGATTTTACCCAAAAGAGAATCTGTTCAACCAGGAAATTCTACTATTCAAGGTGTTCTCACTGTACCAAGTCTCACCTTGCATACCATACACAAAGAGCAGAGCTTCCTAAAGCTGGGGAATCTTCCTCTTCAAGTCTTCTGAGATGTTTTTGTTATAAATATTCTTAGCTGTTGATGAGAGGAGACTTTTTTGGATTCTTTAGTCCCATAGGCCATGAGGTTAACAACTGCGTAGAAACTTCAGTGCAGCAGAGCTGGCTTAGCTCTGCAGACTGGGAAATGTGCATTTGGTGTGCATGATGCTGCTGCTGAAAGAAGCAAAGCCTGTGAACCTGGTAACAGCAGTGAGCAATTCTTCCTCTCCCTGTACTCTCTTTAAATGACTGTAAATGCTTTTATAGGCCTCAGGATGCCCCACAGGTATATAAATAGAAAAATTAATAGTTGACATGAAAATCCCCTTTGTTGAAATCCAGGGGATTAATTTAGATCCAGTTTCTCTGATTATTCCATACTACTTTTGCAAATTAGCTGCTTTTAAAAAAACCAAACCCTGAACCATCACCTTGAGGTCCTTTTCACTTGTCCATATAAAATGCATGCTTGGTCAGATAGAGCTGGCCTGGCATTTAGCCCAGTTCCAGTTTCACTGAACCTAAATGAAAACCTGGGAGTGAATCCAATTAAACAGAAGAATCCTTTGTAGCTTTTCATATGCATATATTTACCTTAGCTCTACCAAAGCTGCTGAGAGAATCCTCTGTAGGATGGGAACGGCTCTGCTCTCTGTAATATCTTCTGGCAGTATAGGCCTGTGGACATGGTGATTGGGAGACATGAGGAAGGATGTGATAGGGGAGGAAAGCATGTGTTAAATGGCACCACTGGAGCAGCTGAAGGTAAAGTAATGGATTTTTATTAAATCAAGGATTTATTTCTTTGTTATTGCTGCTGTTACTAGAAACCTGCTTGGGGCATTGTGCTAGTGCATGGCTAGTAGCCAGATGGGTGTACATTTAAGGTTTACCATGGTGATTGTTTTACTCTGGGCTTTTGTAAGGTTGGAACTATGAGAAATGCAACATTAAGGAATCTGGACAATGCCTTGTTTTGAATGTGGTTGTATGCAGGGGTGTACGTGTCTTGATTTAACTCCAACTGGCAGTGAAACACCACACACCCTCTCACTCATTTCTCTCCCATTGGTGGGATGGAGGAGAAAGTTGGAAGATTAAAAGTAATAAAGCTTGTGGATTGAGATGAGACCATCTTAATTCAAACAAAATAATTGTAATGAAAAGAAAAATAACAGAGATAAATGAAACCCAAAATAAACCCAAGTGAGGCAAATGAAAAACAGTTGCTCAACACCAGCTGACTGATGCCCAGCTCATTCCTGAGCAGTGGTGCCTGATCAGCTTTTCCCATAGTTTATACTGAGCATGATGGCATTTGGAATATCCCTGTGGTCAGTTGGGGTCAGCTGTCCTGGCTGTGTCCCCCCCCGTCCTTCTGCCTCCCAGCCTCCTTGCTGGCAGGGCAGCATGAGAACCTGAAAAGTCCTTGACTTGGTGTAAGCACTGCTCAACAACAACTACATCGTCAGTAATGTTGGCAACATTATTCTCATCCTAAATCCAAAACATAGCCCTGTACCAGCTATTAGGAAGAAAATCAACTATCCCAGCTGAAACAGGACAACATGTGTTTATCAAATGTATGAGGCATGTAGCGTGCTAAAGCTGGGTATTCCCATGTATTAAAAATGGCAAATCTTGGGAGTCTTCCCAGATGCTGCCTGGCCAGTCTCCCAAGGGGCTGATTTGCAGCCTTGGTGCTACCAGATCCAATGTACTTCCTGCATTATTGCAATTTCTGGGAAGGGCAAATGAATATCTTTAATTTTGTGTTAAAAAGAGTTAATGTGACTCCAGATAAAGGCAAACAAAAACTTGAACCGCTGGAAGTCTATCGTAGATGTTTGGTTGGTCTTTTGTTGTGCACAGAAAGCCCTGTCCCCAGGCTTTTTAGAACAGTCATTGTCAGGCAGTGATTTGTGGGTGGTACTGAATCTCCTTGGTAGTGGCAGCTTTTGTGCAGTAGAAACTTTGCATCAACGCAAATGTGTTACACACCCCATCTGGAATATTCATAGAAAATTCTTAGTAATAGAATATTCACAAAAGAATCCCAGTTCACAACTCTTTGGTCCAAAATTGAAGGGAGTGAAAGTTAGCTCAGTTTGATTCAGTCCTAATGTCATGTTGATGCTGGGTCTGGACTAAATTTCATATCTGGACACATTATTACCGTGCTCTTTTGTTTCTGGGAGTAGGCGAGTACTTAAATATTCTGTGATTGTTATCCTTGGAAGTAGACTAAGGAGAGATCCTTGTTCTTTGGCATGCAAGAGAACTTGTATTCTCTTACAAGTGGGCAATCTAGATCTAATAATAGATACTGTGTTTGTGTGTGATGTAGGTCTGCAGTTTGGATCATGGAGAGAAAGAGGCACTCAGAATTTTTGGTGTTTCATTGATTTCCTCTGAATTATTGCCTACTGCATGGCTGGAGGGTTTCTGACTTCGTTGTGATTTCCATGAGTTGCAGAGTAAGGGGAAAACAGAAATTCAGCCAGACCCTGCAGTGTCTCACCTGTTAGTCAGCAGATGGCTCAGGCAGTGGCACAGAGCACTTGGCAGGCTGGGCTGCACTTTGCTGCACACTCGTGTGGCTGGAATGAGAGTAACTTCCCATTGGGATGACTTTTGTATTGCAGCCTGCAGAAGCAGCCCGTGCAGGAGCTGAAGCAGCTGGATCAGAAGCAGCAGCTGGAGCTGAAGCATCTAAAACTGAAGCTGACTCAGGATCGGTAAACACTCAAGGGACAGCAATCCCTTTTCTCCATCCCTTTGTTACACAGCACATGTGGGAGGCTGGACTGGGAAAAGAGCTGTGCAGCTTGTTGGAAAAACACATCCCTGCCACCAGAGGAGTTACAATGCTCTTATTCAGGAACCAAGCTTAGTTGTTGCATTTTATCTGTGTAATGCTTAGGGAGAAGTTCTGCTGGAAAAGTCAGTAAAAGAATTGTCCCTTCACCCATGTTATGAAGTCAGCCCACAGCCCATGCTGTCCTAAGCTGTGTTGTCAGCTGGATTCCCCCTTGCTTGCCATTTACTTTACCTACCCTCTCCTCTGGGCTCTGGCTGTGTCTCCTGGATATCCAGGCCTCCTCTCTTTTTGGTGACACTACTGCCCTTTTAGGGGACGGGTAGGTCCCACTCATGGCAGCTTTGTTCCTACAGGCTGTCACATTTGAGTTGTCTGTTCCAGGAGGGCTCTATGAGATTGCATTGTGACCACAGCAACTGGGAAATGCCAGGCATTATGGTCTCAGAAAACCTACAGCTCATCCCTGCCTTTCTGCAGCCTTAAGCAGAGAAAGACAGCAGTCACCAATCCTGCCTTCTCGCTGCTGCCTCTGCTGTCCCTTGGGGTGTTTTGCTGCTGGCTGGTGTGCTCGGAAAACCCACTGAAGCCGTGGGATGGTTGGGGTCTGGATGCTCCAGGGTGGACTTGGAGCTTCAGTTTTGGGTTCTCTTTTCTCAATGTCTTTTTTTCCCTTCCTTGGCTGCCACTGCCTATCAGAGCTCTTTGCCTGCTGTTGTTGTGGAAACTTTCCCTGCAACCATCAATGGCACTGTGGAAGGAGGGGCTTCATCTGAGAGAGCTGACATGCCCCCAGGATTTCTGTTCAAGGTGAGTGTGTGGCTGTGCAGCATTGAGTTCCTGGTGAGGGTTTTTTCTCCCCTGTAAGGCATTGGCTGCTTTTACTCAGCATGGCCATGGCCTAGGCCACATTGAAAAGCAGAACAGAAGTTGAAGGAGAGATAAACCTTCCTCTCCAGCAGTGCAGCTTCATGCAGTTCCAGATATTTCAAAGGATTGTGTAAGAGCATCAGCATCTAAAGGTCTTGCTGTACTGTGCAGCAAAATCCATTCTCTCTGCTGGAGTGGTTTCTGTCTTGGTGGTGTGGTGGTGTCAGTCACAGACTCTGGATAGTGGATAAAATGTGCTCCTGACAGGAAAAGTTAAACTTTGATGCAAGTTGACAAATTGAGAAGAGTTGGGAACACCAGCAAGAACAGAGGACTCTGTTCAGGGAAGTTAGAAAGTCAGAATTAACAGAGAAGAGTATAGGACTAGACAGGGAAGTTGGGTGGGTATTCTGAATATGCCAAAGATCACTTGCAGCAAAGGTGTAGAGGAAGGAGTGATTTTAGGTGAGGATAAGCCACAAATTTAATGTCCATAGGGGAGTGTGGTAGCCAGAAAGCACAGCTGTATCATGCCCTGAAAGTGAGAATTTACAGCATCTTACTATAGGAACGCTTCTCTGCTTTAGTCGTTCCCATTTTTTTCTGTGAGTTCTGCTGAAAGCAGAAGAATTGCAAAGCCCTGAAGAACGACAGGAGGCTCATAACATTTAGTGTGGTTTCAGGTGGCATTTTAGGCTGTAGTGCTCAAAGTGCTGCTCTCCTGTCCCTGCAGGTCCAGGCCATGCACGATTACACAGCCACTGACACTGACGAGCTGCAGCTGAAGGCTGGGGACGTGGTGCTTGTGATTCCATTTGAGAACCCTGAGGAGCAGGTGAGTGGGGGAGGCAGGGTGTGAGCATGGGCCAGGTGGAGCCAAGGGGCTTTCCTGAGCTGCTTCTTTCTTCACTAACAGTTGGCTGGCTGAATGCTGAGCCCTTAGTTTGTGGCTGGGAGCTGGCAAGAGAGCCGGCTGGCCTTGAGCTTGAGATTGGCTTCTTGCAACAGAGGGGAGGACTCTGCTTGTCACTGGAAAGTGGAGACATTATCCTGCATAAAGCATGTGGAGTAGCCATGGGTTCTTGTCCCTATCAAAACATTTGAGCCAATACAGTGGCTCTCTTGATCAGGGAGCCCAACAGAGCCCATGCTTTGCCTCCTCGCTGCCCCTGAACTTGATGCATTCCCTATGACCACTACAGCACAGACTGTGGCATTGAAATAAGTGACTGATAGCTTATGATGTTTTCTTCTCTTTTGAGAAATATTGGAGCTCTGAGAAAGCAGCTGGTGGTGGATGATGTCTTACACTTCAGCACAGCAGTGGCTGTTTCCAAGTGACTGTGTTTGGTCAGGAGATGGCAGCAGAATCAAAGGCTAGAGCAGGTCTCAGCTCCAGAGAACAAGTCTTGCTGCCCATCTTCTACCTGAATTTACTTGGTCATCTTTTTCTTTAATTTGAGCTAGAAGCCTTGAGTAAGTCCTCCCCACTTTCTGTGTTTGAGGGCACCCAGCTGACAATCTGCAGCAGTTTTTCTACTTTGACTGAGAGAGGTGGTGAGTTTGTAAAATTAATGCTCACATCTCTAGGTTTCTGTTTGGAAAAGAAAGAGAATTCTCCAAATTGATTGAGCAGTCATCAGGTCTTTGGGTTTGGCCAAGTTCAGATAAGATCTGGATTTCACAAGGGGTAAAGGGAAGGTGATGCAGTTCACTAACTCAGAAAATGTGGATCTTCTTTGTGGCCCAGATGTTGGCTTTGTGAATTGTGGAGGCAGATCATGCTGATGCTGGTGAGATGGAGCTATAAAAGCCAACAGTTCCCACACAGCTACAGGAGGAGAGGTTTTTGGGGAACAGACACTGATTCCTTCTGGAGATGAGAGTCCCCACTGGGTGGGACTGCCCTGCACAAGCGTTTGTGAACATTTCTTTCTCAGAAAGCTTTCTGGATGGGAAATGAGTGTCAGCTCCCCCAGTTTCTGTGGTAGGAGATGGCGTTTGTGGAGCAGATGGCGTTTTTGGATCAGAGTTTTTCAACGCCCTGTGTTTGCACTTTAGCTGGATGTGGGTGCAACAGCCATGAACTCAAGACTCTCCAAGCTGCAGAGGGTGAGCTCTGAGTGTTGCTAACATGACTCTGTAGCTGCACTGAAGCCCTCTAACCCTTCTACAGTGTATCTTATGCTACAACTCATTTCCCTAACCTCAACCATACCCAGCCAGGATTTTCTGGCTGTTAACATGTGCATGAACTGTGCACGTGAGTGGAGGGAGCTTAGGATACTAGACTGATTCCCATCCCTACCTTGCAGCTTAGGTCTCAGTTTGTGGGTATGCCCAGGCCTGGATTCATCTCTCTCAATAGAAGAAAGGGTTGAGGGCAGCAACACTTCTAATCTGGCACTTCAAGTGATCTGGTTTAAAATTGTTAAGGCCCTATCTGGGTCCTCATGTCTAATCCCTACAGCCAAGGAGACCCTTCATAGCAGGATGTGGTGGGAGTGATGCATGTGTGCTCTTTGACACAGCACTATGTTCAAATGGATGAGCTTTTGTGCCTGACGTGCTGTGAGCTGGAAGCTGCCTTCTAGACGCTTGGGCCCAGTGTCTTCTGCCTCATTGTTTGTCTTCCTGATTTATGGCATGTCAATCCTTCCACAGCCTCTGCAGCTGGCTGCTGCAGATGGGCTCGCATCTTGTGTCATTCCCATGACATCTCCTGAACATTCCAATCTAAGGCAGCAGCCAGGGCTAAGTGAGCCTGCAGGCTCTGGGAGCTGTGCAGCTCTCGTGGGTCATGCTGCACTCTAAACCCATGGGCTGCCCCACTGCAAATGAGTGGGGTGTGTGCATGGAAGGGAGCTTCCATTATGGCAGCTCCAAGGCATGCAGAGAGTAGAGGGTTGTAGACTGAGCTGCAAGCTCAGTGCAGCCCTCCCACCTTGAATATCTTGAATATCTCCCTCATGTGTCTAGGATGGAGCAGAAATCTCAATGCCAGTCTGCAGGCAGAGTGGGAAGTCTGGTTCTGCTCATGAGCAGATTCTACCAAGCAGGGTTCCTTTTGCCTGAGTCAAAATTCACCTGTGTTTATAGATGTTGGAGGCTAGGAAAGACATTCTTGAGAGACCTAAATCACATGTAGCCAAAATTTGGGAGTTTTGCTAACCTCACCTTGCATCAAACCAAACAGATTGCTGAGTTTTGGGAAGATGAGTTGGGTTCCTCAGCTCCCAATTCCCATAGATCAGGATTTCATTGTAGCTAATAAGACTCATTTTGCCTGTACCACCTCTAAAATGCCAATCATCTGGGTGCCCTGACTGGAGCAGGGATGAGCACTTTCTGGGGCTGATTCATCCTTTCCAAAGACTTGTGCCTGAGATAGATGGGGTGAATTACATGCTGGAGGTGCCTGTCTCTTTTATAGCCATGGAAAATGCTAGCCCCCTCATGTTTGCATTGTGAAGGGTGAGATAGGTGATTCCCATCCTCTAGCTCTGGAGTCTCTTTTGCCAGAATTTCTCCTCTTTCAGTGGTTGTAAATTATGACATGTTTCTTTTACGCTTGGTTATTTTTTACTGTGTCTGCACAGTCTGGGTCAGATGGGAGCTTTGGTATGAACTCTGGTGGGATGTAGCCTTTTCTCTGTTTAAAAAGAAACAAAAGCATTTTTTCCTTCTCCCTGATACTCCTCCTGGATTGTCTCCAAGCCAAATAAGAGCATGGCTTTGGTAATGTGTTGACACCTCCTTGGCCTACACTGTGTAAGAAAAATCCCTGCTCACATCTGTCCCTTAGCGTCTGATCTCTGTCTTCTCCTCCAGGACGAAGGATGGCTGATGGGTGTGAAGGAGTCTGACTGGATCCAGCATAAGGAACTTGACCAATGCCGAGGGGTTTTCCCTGAGAATTTCACAGAACGGGTGCAGTGAAAGTCCAAGCCCACCAGCTGCATTTCTGCTGGAAGAAAGCAAGTTTTCTGGTAGATAACTGAAAAAGAACAACGAAAGGAAATGAAGAGAGAATTATGAAGGAATAGAAGCCTGAAAAAAAAGTCAATTTAAAGGGTGTGTTCTTCACTAAGGGCAAGGTTTCAGAAGTTAACTGAAATTCCAAGTGTTATTGAAATATATACATATTAATAATAATAAGGCAATTCAGATATCCTCTTCCCCTTTGGTTTAAACAGCATTTGGATTCAAAGGACTGATGCAGAAGCAACTCAGTGAGGTTCTCCAAGTACTGCATTGACTGAATTGTCAGATGTCAGTCTGGTTCCTGGAAAGGCAGTATTTGTCAAACGGCTTGAAAGTAGAAAGCTGCATTTGCTCTTGGGTGGGTTAATCTGTTCTGTCTTGAAGGTGGCTTGCATGGCAACCATAAAAATTCAGCCTTCCCTACATCTTCAACCTACAGTAGGCCAAACTTTCTGTTATGCTGTTGAAAAAAAAATTTAGTATATAGTGTTCACCACTACAATGTATGTGTGTGTGTGTGTATTTTATTTTCTTTCTTCAAAACAATGTTACATAAACTGTGATTTTATACATGTAAAGGTAGAAGAAACTACATGGAAAGGGCATGAAGAAGGTGAAATGTGTGAAGCTGTGCTCAGTCCAAAGTTCTTTCAAATGCAGAGATCTAAATTCTCACAGTAGTGTTGGCCTTTGAAATCCTAAGGGGAATGGACAAATTCAAGAGGAAAAACAAGACGAAACAAACAGATGCCGTTTGGATGTCTGAAGTTTAGGCAAGGAAATCCTCTAGTACACACATCCCCATCCCCTACCCCCCAAAAAAACCCCAAACCTATTGGTGGTTTCAGAAAATTTAGATTCATGTAGGTGGAAAATAGCGGTAAAATCTACTGGTTGGAAAATTTGCTTTTAAAGACAGAGATAAGGGAATAATTTTTTTTTTTTTTTCTGTAAGAATATCAAAGAGAAAACACTGATAAAAAACAAATTACTTTCTGTGCTTTTCATTGGCGTTGTTTTTTGTGGAATTGTATTTCTTATTTTCCTTGGAAGAGTTCTGTAAGTGAAATATCGTTAGATCAGCTTTCTCAGTGCTGTGCTGATGATCAAGTTAACCTCTATGAAAACTGGACTCTTGAAATGCTCGTTTAAAATGGCTGTGTGACTTCATGCTATTGTAATGCATTAGAAAGGAAGGCAAGAATATCAAAGTGTCAGTGTCAAGAAGACACTCTGCAGTCTAATACTGATGCTGAGTCCTTTCCTTTACCTTTCCTTTGCTTCTGTTTGTTTTTGAATTGTGGTTTTTTATTTTATTTTTTTTTTTTTTTTGTTTTTTTTGGTTTTTTTTTTTTTTAGTTTAGACAAGTAGATGACAAGGCATATTCTAAGTGCATATTACACTTGTTAATATAAGCCGGTCTGGCTCTCCAAGACTCTAAAGTCCCACAAAGGTACTTTATAAACTTTACTTGAATACTGATGCAGCTGGCAAGCGAGTCAGGCTATTTTAATTTTTTACAGCTTCCCCTCCTCCCCCATGATTGTTTTGCCCTGAAGGGATTTTTAACAGTGAGGTTATGCCATGCTTAGGATCACTCTGAAATAATCTTCCAAACGGGTAGGAGTTGGCTTTTGTCAAAGCTGCACAAAATGCTGACAGAGTACTGAAAATCTCACCTTTCCCAGTCTCTTTGGATTATATGTAGAACAGCAGAAAAACATTGTAGGGCAGAAATTGTGTTAAAAAAAAAAAAAACAACAGCTTTTTTTTTTGTTCCTCCTCTGTTTGGAGGAACAGATCTGATTTTGATTAGAAAATATATTCTTATGGATGCAAGCATTGTTGGAGTTCCTCATGCTTTCAGCTTGGGAGATGATCCATGCTAGTTATTTACAGCAATGTAACAGGCATTAAATCTGTCCTATATACCCAAATCCATTTTCTTTTTAAAAGAAAAAATGTGCAGGAATTTATTTTGCATCACTGTTAGAAACCCCAATAGTATTTAGGAGTAACTGCTCACAATACAGAAGGACTGGACTCCACAAATTATGGTATGGTGAGCTGTTGCTTTAGAATACTGCCCTGTTTGACTTTTTTTTCCTTTTTCATCAGGGTTGTCTTTATTATTACTCTTTTTTGTTTTTCAAAATATCTATTTTTATGCATTTGTGACTCCCATTACTCCTTTAAAGATTATTCATATAAAAATATACATTTAAATATACATAGAAATATATATATATATAAAAGCGGGTTGATCCAATTAACATAATGCAGTCAGCTTAAAATGTTTATTTTTATGCAAAACCTGTGGATAATAGCTTTGTTTTTTTTTAAAAAAGGACAAGATTCTAAGTTACCAGAGCTGTGATTTTTGTCTTGTAGTAACTGTTCTAGACCATTTAGAAAGCTGTGCTGATACCTAATTTATTGTGGGTTTTTTTTTTGCTGTTGTTGTCGTCTGCTGTGCTTGAACCAGATGACTGTCCCAACAAAGATCCTTGTAAGGCCTTTTGATTTTATTGAGCTTGCAGAGCAACTATCCAGTACTGTATTGTCCCTGCAGAAGTGGTAGCACTTTGCAAAAAAGGGATGTTGTTTTCAGGTCACGTGAGCAATGCTCCAGTGTTGCTGGTGGCGGGGAGAGTGTTGTGTCTCTCTCCATTTGCTTCCCCCAACCCCAAAACCCCCAAGCCCCCTGGCTTAGAGCAGGTTAGGGTGGGTTACCTGGATCTTGCATTGCTCACAGATAAGTGGTGTCAGCACATCTCAGTCAGGTTCTGAAAATGCAGGATCAGACCCACAGTTTATAAATTGCCTTATGTGAAAGTAGGATGGCAGAGCAGGAAACTTGTAGATGGCAGTGTTCTTCAGAGCCAGGAGATCTGTCTCCTGGGTTGTTCAGCCCCTTGTAAACAGCCATGGCTCCTCCCATTTTCAGTGTTTTTACTCCTAAATACCTTGATTCTGGTTGGTATTACCTGGTGAAATGAATTTCCCCTTTTCTTTGGTTTAGAACTGATTCAAATAGAAAGAGGGACAGTAAACTCCCAGGCAGGCAGTGCCCTTCTGGTTTTTCAGTTTGCAGGCTGAACTGAAAAATCTGAGAAAAAATGTAAGGGTGACCTGAGACAATTTTTTTTCCATTTTCTCAGTGGAATGAAAAAGGGAAAAATTGAAACAAACAAACAAATACTTTCATACCAAAATGAAACATTAATTTCTAAGCTTGCATTTTAACAAACGTTATGTCTTGGGCTGTAACAAGTTGCTTTGAAGCAAAAATGTGAAACCTTCTGTTTTGAAAATGCTGAAAGAAAATGTTTTAATGTTAATAGTCTTTTTGCCTTTGCCTTTTTTCTTAATCTGATGACTGGTTTCAGTTAACTCTAAACTGCGTTTTTTTGCAAATACATTATCCACTGAAGAGAACCCAAAGAAGCCCAGTTCTGCTCCACTGACAGATACACTGGACACATTTCAGGGATTACTTGGTATCTGGCCCATCAAAGCTGCTGTTTTCCCCATTTAATAATCTTCCACTTGATTGTTCTACTGGGTGAAAAATAAAAGCATCTCTCATCCCGTGCCATTGACTGGTTTTGTAGCTGGACTTAGAAAGACATTCTTGCTCTGTCGTCTTCAGTTTGGTTACAGATTTGTGATACTACTCCAGTTTGAGCCTAATCCTAGTATGAAGTGTGGGAATTAATATTTACCCAACTGTTAAGAAAGAAATAAGGTATTGTTTCTTACCCCTTTTTCTATCTTAGCAATGTCATTAAGATATCTATTTGATAGAATTAAGGAAAGGTCCCAGGGGGAAGAAGAGTGTGGTGTTCCAGGTGGGATTCCCCCATACACTATGCTATTTTCCATGGGAATTCCTCAGCTGTCTGCTTTTATCACCTTTGTTTTGCTTGGCTGTTGTGGTGATGCAGTAAATGGAGTTGTGCAGGTTCATTTCCAGCTGCTCAAAGCTGGTAGTGCTTTGTGTGAATTGTGCCACAATCCTTGAAGCTTTGTTCACTGTTGCAGAACCCTTTCCTGTCCCACTCTCCTCAGTCTGTGGCCAAGGCAGACAGCCCCAAGTCCAAGGGGACTTGGAGCAGAAGTGAGGACTCCAAATTCTACCTGGAACTGGGATGTCGTTCAATTAGGTTTTGCAGTAGTCTCTTGGAGGGAAAAGGCCCAAGGCTAACGAGATGGAGGAGGATAGAGGGATGATTCATTATCTTTTTCATTTTGGGTTGATACACTGACTCCCTCACCTCTTAGTTCCAGGGAGACACTCTGTAGGGCTGAGAACAAAATAGGAATGGCCAAGGTGTGTATGTTCAATCTGACAACGGGTGCTTCTTGCCTGCCAGTGGCACTGGGTTCAGAGCATCCTGTTTCCTGCTCTGTGCCAGACAGATGCAATGCTCTGCCACAGATATTTTGGATGCTGTGCAGTCAGTGCCCCAAAAGAGTGACTGTCCTTGTCTGAAGGAGGCAGAGGTGTCTGTCAGCCCTTTCTAGGAAGATTTATCGATCTCCCACAGACAAGGCCTGTGTGCATCTAACACAGTCACCTCTGATTTCAGCACTGGCTCCATTCTCCCACTCCTCTCACTTCCCAGCCTCTCCCATGCTCTTTGAGGATGATGGCAGCATTGGGCACTTCCCACCAGCCAAAAAGTGCAAAGCTAGAAGATGCACAAATGTGTCCATCAGCAAATCCTACACAATGCAGCTTGATAGTGCTGATAAACAAGCAGGTAAACAAGCAACAGCTTTTCTTCTCTGGGCCACCAAAGGGAAGCAACTCCTTGCCACACAGGTACTGTCTCACCTGGTGCTGGTGCAGACACCTCTCTGCTTGCATGCCTCTGGTTCACACCTTTTTGCATAACTCCTGATGGAAAGGAGTCCTGGGTGGTGCCCAGAGCTGGATTGTGTCACCAGCCCTCACAAACCATCAGGTTTAGTTCACACATGGGGGCTAAGAATAAAAGGCTCTTTTGGCAATTTTGCTTATGAAACTAAATGGAGAAACTACAGCTGTGAAGACTGGTCTGTATAAGCTTGTACTTTGATGTGTCCTATGGCTATAATTCCTTCACCTCCTTTTGCAGCTTATTCTGCTATTGTGACCCTAGTCTGCATTTCATGTAGAAGGTCCCTACTTGAAACTTGCCAGATGCAGTCCTGGGCTTATTGCTTCTCTTTAGCTGAATTAAGTGGGAACGACTTCGGCAGTGTATTAGCAATCTCTTTTCCTTCTGTTAATTCAGTCTCTGAGTTTAATCACAATGACCTGAAACATGTTTGGGGGTTGAGTGGTTTTTTAATTAATTTTTGTTTTGTTTAATCAAAGCTGAACAATTCCCATTGTATTTAGAGCTGTGATACCCAGTTCCACAAGTACTAGATAAATTTGTCCCATCTTGTTTCTTGGTGATGTTCAGAAATATAATTTGTGTCATCCTAAATCTTGCGTCAGTTTCTCTCTCTATTTTTTTCCTACCTTTATATTAAGAAGCTGAAACAATTCAGGACATTTTTCTCCCCACAGAGGTGAGTAGCTTCATAGATGTTTGGTGTCCAGGCACCTTTAACATGGGGAGTTCTTACAATCACATGGGATGGGGAAGGTGATGCTGGTCCTAACAACAGCAGGGTAAGCTCTTGTAGCGGCCATCTCTGTTCCAGTTGATTGTGATGCCAAATGAATGTAGTGTAAGGAAGGATTTGAGATCTTTCCTTTTTATTGGCTACTGGCCCCAAAGTGATGTGACCTTCATCATCTAAGGCAGGTCTGTTGGTGGGACTATGACACTGCAAGGGCACTCTGTGCCACCTGGCCAATCTTTCCTCAGCTCCCTCTGGCCTGCTGCCACACCTGTGTGAGCTCAGTTCCCAGGCTGGCTTCGGATTCTGCTCTTTACATGGGACACTTCCTTTGCAGGTAGAAAGGGGGTGTTTGTGCCCATCAGCCACAGGGATTGAGGGACAAGATTAGAGGGAGTCACAGTTCATAGCTGACTGGTTTTGGGGCCACTCCCTCCCTGCCTGATTCCAGACAGGCTTGGCACAGCTGTAAATTGGTGCCAGCTAGCACTTTGATGGATGGACTGCCAGAGTCCACTGCTTTGGGAAGCAACCCCACAAGCACCAGAGCCAGATCAGGGAGCTGTCTAGGCTGAGTTTCACCATTCCTTTGCTTCCAGCCAGCCTGGAGGGTTTAGTGCCTTTTAGCCTCTCACCTCTGGCGTTGGGATGGACCTGAGTCACATCTTGTGGCAGAGGGAGAGCAAGAGGCAAGCTGTGTCCCTGGAACTAGCACTGCAGTTGGTGACTCAGGCTCTGCCTTGGTGTGGTGGCTCCTGTGAGGCTGAGCTGGGCCAGCTCTGCTGTAGGTAGAAGCTCACAAGGTAGGAGCATGACCCAGAGGCTCTGTTCATGCCTTCTGCTTGTCCTGCCTCACAGAGTTTCATTGCCATCACCTAGAAATAGGAAGGAAATGGGAGGGAGAAGATGGACGAGTGGGAGAGGTGAATAATTCATTGTCAGAGTCTCTGCTCACCTGCATAATTCATTCCTAGTGATGTTTTGTTGCTCCAAACAAGCAGCAGTTGGTGTCATTGTCTGTGTGCAGGCTGTGGCCGCATAAGCCCTGGCAGCACATCTGGAGCAGAATCAGGGTCCAGGGGCCCTGGTCCAACCTCAGTGGATCTCATCACGCTGAGGGAAGCTTCCCTCTGGCACCACAGCTGAAGAAGGAAGCCTCTAACATGTAGGAGACACATGTGGCACCAGGTGAGGCTGGAGTGTCTGGGAGTGGCAAGGTGGAAGCCAGGGCATTCTGTGCTGCAATGGACTGGCAGTGACTGGTGTCAGTCACCTCATGACATGCCCACATGAAGGGACAAGTTGGTACCAGGGCTGTCCTTCCCATGTAGGAGCCCATGCCACCTGGGAAAGACCCCGTGACAGGAAGCTTGAGCCCCGGTGGGCAGCTAGGAGTCAGTCCACAATGGTGAGGGGGAGGAGATGGGAGTTTGGGGCAGCGCTCAGCAATTTCTCCTGTTTGCTGGCTGGGTGAAGCTGGTGCCCTTTCTGCAGAGCAGAACTGCTGCTTCAGCACGTGGAGGAGCCTCTGCTGTGCAGCCCAATCCACAGAGCCATTAATAATGGTGTGGGAACAGGAATTCAGCAAGTGCCCATGATTAATTAGCTCATCATGGGCAGTTAATGGCCAGGCTGCTCCCCTTGGCCCTGTGGTGCAGGCAATGGAACAGCCATCGCTTCCCACTGGATGAGGCATAGCCCCCTGCCAGGAGCAATGGGCAGTCTGTGAGCTGTTCTGATGTGCTGCTGAGAGGTTTTGGGTGAGATTGTTTTTTTCAGATGCTGGGGGAATGGATCTGTAAGGGAACTTGTTAGTTATCAACGTTAGGTAGGCAACTCTGGCGCAGCCCCAGCCTAATATCAGCTTTCCTTTTCCTGGTGCTGGTGTTACCTCACGTCCTGCTTGTGCTCCCTCTTGCTGAGGCTGACTTCTTCACATGTACTCTGCTTGTCTCAGCACTTCCTCGTGAATTAATATTTAGAAATTCAGGTGCCACCTATGCTGCATAAGGCACTGGAGATGACAGAGCCGTGCTGTAACAAGGACATGAAAGCAAGGCTGCTTTTTGAAATCCAAGTGATGAGGAAGCAATCCACTCCAGTAGTGACCCTGCCAGGGAGAGGGCTGAGTGCAAGGGATTTCCTCTGTCCCAGCTGCTTAGCAATAAGATAGGAGAAAGAAAAAGCTCTAGCAGGAGTGCAAGGTATAGAAATTAAATTGCACACATTTTCATAATTTGAGCGACATGATACAGCCCAGGGCGTGAAATGAATGTGATGGGACTGAGACTGCTGCTGTGTTGCCAGTAAGGAGTGCAAGCCTTGTCCTGTGTCCCAAAGGGACATGATCATGGGGCACTTTAGGGCACATTCTGTGATGGTCACAATGATGCCTATTACAGCAGAAGTGAGGAATGTACAGAAACCCCTGTGCCACAGACTTTAATTTCTGCTCTCCCCAATTCAGAGACCTGTGAGAGCCTCCTGGAGTGACTTCCCCTCTCTAATGTTCAGGATTGCCTCTGTACATCTCTATTAGAGGCCTCCAGGAGAGACCTGACTATTGATTTTGCAGAAAGTGCTGTGTTTGCTGTTGAGGGCGATGCTGCTTTAGGAGTGAGCTGGCCACACAGAGGCACTCGTGACATCCATGAGCTCCCTGTTCCAGTACAAAACATCCCAAAGGTCTGAAAACACCTTCTGTGTGCCAGACTTCTGGCTGACTCCCCTGGGGAAATCTGAGAAAAGCTCAAACTGAAAAAAGCTCATCTGTGCTGGGAGAAGTCACAGTGTTTTAGTGGCTGGGCCTTGGCATTGCACTTGATGGTCACATTAACCAGGGATGCTTCCAGCCCTCTAAGAACTTTCCCCATGACACACAGCAGAAGCTGGCTTTGCTCCTCTGTGACAAGTGGTCACCTTCCTACATCTTCAGCAAGTTTCACCTGGAGCCATCTTGTGAAGTGTCGTGTCCATCTTCTGCTTCCTAAGCCCTCCCTCCTGGGAGGCACATCAGGGAAGGCTGTGCCTCTTGCCCCACAAAGGCAGTGATGTACCATACCAGGAGGACAGGTATTTAATTTGCCTTGCTCTGCCCTATCTGGCAGCTCCAGCATTGCTCACTGTGTCTCAGGCTTTCTGCTGTGGCTCTGACAAATTGTTGCTCTTCCCATATGATACAGATGTTTTTGCAGGACTGTAAATTACTCCCATCCAATAACTCTTTTATGAAGCACTTTTTCACCACACAGTAAAGAAAAATGCAACTGAAGAGGTAATTAAATGTTTACTGTTAAGTACATTATATATTATATACTATAGATCATTCCATCCATTAAGCAATCCATTTAACTCCCTTTAACAGCATTATTGTCTATTATTAGGTTCATCAGCATTCACATCCTTTAACTCTGCATTTCTATCTAATTAGCGCTTCTTTCTTACTTCATATTTCTATTTAATTAAGCTCAGCATCAGAGCTGAATTTCCTGTGCTCAGCACTAGCAAAGGATTTGATCCTTTCAATGTGTGAGGGGCTGAGGGGCACCAAGCTTTAAGTAGCCTCCTTGGATATCTGCTGAAGTTTTCAGCTGACGTTTTCCAGAGTCAGTCCCTACTTAACTCCTGAAAAATTTGTGTCCATTTAAGAAGCTGTAGGTTTGTGACCTCCTCAGTTATCTCAGGTTATCAAAGAGGTCCTGTAGGCGTGGTGGCTGCAGCTGGTGCATCTGCAATGATCGCATGTAGCATCCAGGCACTGCACATGGCATGGTCATGGATAGAGACTTTACTTCCTGACTGGAAAGGTAGGGACTCTGTGTAGTGAGGGGCTTACACTTCACTCTGGATCTTGGGGTAGGTAAGGATCAGCAGCTGGGAATAGCTCATTTCTTACCTGACCAGGGCCAAAATGTTCCTGCTGGTGCAGTTCCACACCAGCGCCGGGCTCTGGGGTGGTGGGGCAGGACACAGCCGCTGCCTGTGATGGGGCTTGTCAGTGTGCACCAGCTTTAGGTGTAACTCTGCAGGCCCCATTTGACAAACCTCTGCAGAGCTGCTCAGACGCTGATCTGCAGAGGGGCGCACTTGGAAGCGGTGAGTTTGTGGGCTGGTGGCCCTGACCCATGGGATGTGTGCTGTGAGGAGGCTGCACCGGGCTGCCTGGGGCCGCTGTGTGCTGCAGCACTGCTGGGACCTGAGCTCACATCGTGCCTGCTGATAACACACACTTTGGCATAAACACCTGCTCTGTTCTCTCAATCCCTAAGCCCTGGAGTCTGCTACAGGAGGCTGTCAGTTATAATCTCTCCCCGTCAAACGTTTTTGGGGATACCCAAGGCACGCACTGTGACAGCATCACTGGAAAGCAGATTAAATAGCAGACAGGGAACACCTTGCTTGTCACCACTTAGCATCCGAGCTGCAATGGCTTTGAGGAATTGTCTGGGCCCTTCCAGAGTCCCTGAGCAGCTCTTTTTGCTAGTACCAGTCCAGAACAATCAGCAAATTGAGTTCTTTTTATTAACTTTAAAAGAAGACATTAGCCTCAGCCAGGAGAATAAAACCAATTTATGAGGCAATTAGCTCTGCAAAAACATTTCAGTCTCCCCAGAGCAGCCATCTGAGGAGCATCTTATTCCAGCTGCACAGCTTCTTCCGGCCTTGGGTTTACAGCACACTTCATTTATCATCAATAATAATAATCATGAATAAACAAATGGCTTCCTGATGAGTGTGTGAGACAGCCAGGAATGTCTTCTCTGCCTGAAATTAGACTATGTTTTTGACTTCCTCCTTCCAAGTGTGGCCTGTTTCTTGATTGTGATTAATTTTGATACTCAAGCTGTTTATAAGCAGTATT